CAATAGCAAAGAAACACTATATTACAAACCATCAGAGCTGAAACGAAACGGTAAAATTGTTGAATAAAGGATACTTTGAAGTCACCTCCACCTGAGAACAAGACCATGAAGAAGGCATCGATGATTGCGATCTTCTTGACAACGTTCTTTTACCTCTGCTGTGGATGCTTTGGATATGCAGCTTTTGGCAACAACACACCTGGAAATATTTTGACAGGATTTGGATTTTATGAGCCTTACTGGCTTATCGACTTTGCTAACGCTTGCGTTGTTCTACATTTGGTGGGAGGCTATCAGGTATTTCCTTTTTATACTCTGCAGAGTCGAAAATTATCCTAAGCTAACTGCTAGCATGCTTCCTGTTTCCTTAAAATTCATTGGATTTCCTGTGTCGTAGCCGATGTTCTGTTAATCCTGTCTCGGCACGACTGAACTGACGATATTGTTTTACAGCTCGTAGTGTGGTAAGTTTTTGAGTAATTCTGTTAGAGATCTTCAATAAACAAGCAACTATCTTTTGATCACACATAAATCTTTCAGTTTCTTCTTTTCTGTCAGCTCTACGGTCAGCCAGTGTTCGCATTTGTAGAACGTTGGTTCTCGGAGAAGTTCCCGAGCAGCGAATTTGTGAACAATTTCTACGACATCAAACTCCCACTGTTGCCTGCTTTTCACATCAATCTGTTCAGGATATGTTTTCGAACTGCATATGTTGTGTCAACTACCGCAATTGCCGCTGTTTTCCCTTATTTCAACCAAGTCTTAGGACTGTTAGGGGCCTTAAACTTTTGGCCCTTAGCCATATATTTCCCAGTAGAAATGTATTTAGTGCAGAACAAGATAGAGCCATGGACAAGAAAATGGATGGTTCTTAGGACATTTAGCTTTGGTTGCTTGCTTGTATCGATTGCAGGCTTAATTGGGTCGATTGAAGGAATTGTAAGTGCCAAATTTGGCTGAAAAAAAAAGCTTGGAATCATGCTTTTGTAGGCAGAGAAGACAGAATTGGATTTTCCCAACTCCTAACCGGTTAAGGTTTCAGCTGAGATTAAAAAATATATATCTATATATATTGATATTCGTCTCTTTACTCTTGTTTCTTTCTTAATATGGTCCCTATATCAATTTATTTCTTAATATGGTCCTTGTACCTGTTAGCAGGTTTGGCTCATTTGTGGGAGAAGAAAAGAAGCGCATGCAAGGGCTGCTTTGAAGGAGAAGGGAACGACGGACGACATGTATTCAGGACGAACGTTTATGTTCATCCTTGTCGTTTGCTTCTCCTTTAAATTTCATCCTTTTTTCCTTAATTTTGTTTGAATTACTCCCCTCAACTTGGATAATTTTGGTCCTTCATTTGTCCGTTTCTTTCAATTTCAGTGGGACATTGTTTTATTTTTAGCCAAACATGCCCTTAATCAAAATAGTTTGTGGATAAATACGAGATTATTCCATCGTATATCCAAATAATATATTATCAGCAATTACTAACCTGATAAGGGCTCAGGTTCCATGAGAAGATATAATAATGTTCTAATTCCTTACAATCACACACTGACAAGGACAAGTATTTTCAGTTTGCATTTTGCCTCCCCAAATTATCTCTAATGACAGAAAGTTGGAAACTACTTTTTACTTCTATTTTATTGTATCCTTTTGTAGAAAGAAAGGAAAAAAAAAAAAAAAAAAGGCCAAAATGGTATTAATTTACAATGTTTGCAGCATCTCTTCTTGTAATTAAGGGTCAAATTGAATAGAGGGGGAACCACATCATGCAATGGCTTATAGCCACCCAATTTGTGGAGCTCGATCACAGACTGTGCAACCAAGGTTTTTTTGTGGCTTATAGCATCCAATCAATGACTAAAGTACGTACGACTTCGCTCTCCCTTTAGAATTTCCATGCAAACCCACTAAAGTCACAATCAATAACTTCCCTCTCATAGAATATTATAATCATATAATATTACACCAAAAACCCTGTCTGAGTTTTTCATATTACCTACACCTGACGGTAAAATGATCAGATTCTAGACATTATTATCACAATAATACAACATCGTATTTGAGATTTTTTAATATTATTTATAATTGACGATCAAATTTTTCAATTTTTTTTTATCTTTTTCACGTTTAGCATGAACACCATTTAATTTAAAAGCTTCGGAAAAAAAATTTTTTTGTTTGTTGTTTTGCTTTATACTAAAATTATTATTATGAAAATTTTACCGAATATTTAACTCCCTCTAATTACTTTGTGCACTTGCGGAATCAGTTACTTAGGGAACAGATTGAGAAGCTAAAGAGCGAGGTAATTTTTCAGGATCCACGGCACCAGATCAGGTGCAATTCAGGCACCCACCCTCTTGTTTGATACACTCAACACCTCATCTCCAATCATATCCATCAATCCAACGACTGATGGTCCAACCAGCGAGTCTCTTACCATACACCGGCATCATATCTGATTAAACCTACAGAAGATACTCTGCGACCTACGCAACGAGTAAAACTATCGCATCGTATAGCATCCATGCTACTGGGATATTGAATTAAAAAAGAAAAAAAATTGGGCAAGATAATCATAAAAAATTTACGCAACTTAATAAACACAAGTCAATGGCCAAAGTACAACTGTAATCTCATTTTTAGAATGTCCCACAAAATCATCTCACAATCACACAGTTCCATCTAATAGAATATTATAATCATATAATATTACACACGGAAACCAATATCCAACAGCCTCCTACTCACGGCGGTGCTGCTACTAACATGCGCGACGTGCACATTCTCAGCCCAAAACTGCCCAAACAGACGCACCACGCCACATGTGGTGATCCACAGTACCAGATCTGGTGCGGCAATTAAGGCACCCTCTTTGATACACTCAACACCTCATATCTCCGATCGTATGCAACGACTAGTGATCCAACCAGCCAGCCTCTTACCAAACACCCGCGTCACATCTGATTAAACCTACAAGGTATACCTTATCTTTTAAGCTCACAAGCTATAACACCATCATGCATTTGAACGGTACATGATTGTTAATAAGGAAACTAATTGAATCATCAATTCATGCTATAATAAATAATAGGGAGAAACCCAACATTTTTACTCACACGGGGGAGATTTATTGAAGGAGTTTGAAGAGCGATTATGAAAATCACGGCATTTGATCAGCCGGAAAACTGTCGTGAAATTGAGGATCGTCGCCGTATGGGGCCCTCCGGAGGAGTCTTCGACCTATGCTTCCGATTGCTTTAACCAGAAAATCATATTGATTTATCTGGATCTACAAGACAAATAAAAAAGAAGTTTAGAAAACGGGAAAAAGAGAGAGAAGAATCATCAAAAAGAAGTTATACGGATTTTAAAAAAAAGCTAAGAAGAAGAAAAGCTGATTGATTTGTAAGGAAGTTTGATTGCTTTAAGAAACGAATCTGTAATCAATTATATTTCACAAAAAGATAGAATCTCTTTGAATAATTACCTGCTGCTCTGGTTTCTCCCTTGCTGCTACGAATAGCAGAATAACCAAGACTAAGGTGATCAAAAGAAGGATCTTTGACAGTAACCCCCCAAAGGCCATTTTTTTGTGTAGAGGTTGATGAAGAGGAAGAGAGGAAAATATCTATTTTCTCTTACTCTCTCCATGTCTGTTCTTGCCTTAAATGAGTCTGGTGCAGGACTTGCATTTACTGGTCTGTATTTATAGCAATGACCTTATGAAATTCTCTTCATTATTATCCTTGTGATTTTTCAAGGATAATAAATTACAGGAATTGTCCTACAAGACTTTGAAACATTTTCTAAGCATATTATTTTGAAACAAGAAAAGAAACTACAAATAGCATACAAAAATCTTAACGTTGAAGCCATCAACTTGTTATTTTGTGTAAGCAGTTTCTTTCACTGACAATATGTTTATGACACAATTTTTTTATTCTCCAATAATATACATATGACAAAGAGATTAATAAATTATAAATTAGTCTCTTTAATTTTGATAAATTAATTATTTAGTCTTTATATTTTTAATTTTTTTACAACTTAATCATTATTGTCTTTTTTATTTTATTTTATTTTTTATTTAAAAAAAAATAACGTAAAATATATAATAAATATATAGAAGGATTGATGAAAAAAGATGATTTTTTTTTTCAAATAATGTAATTTTAAGGCTCTTTTGTTGAACTTATGGGCTTGAGTTCATTCAAGAAACCTTAAACCCTAATTATAATGAAATGTACGTCCCTGAGGCCTCAGCCCTCAAGACTACAAAGATTTCTACATTTAAGTGTAACCATCTGAGACCTTTTGGGAACATTTAGCCATTTCTAGGTGTTTGGTTTAAACATTTTCTGAACTCTAGGAACTTTTGTATCGGTAGGATTCTTGCATAAGATTAACGAAAATGAATTATTCTCATTGTTAACTTGAGACTTAATTTTTATTCTAACAATTCAAGAGATAAACCGACTGTAAAAGGTTCGAATATTTTTTGAGGGGCTTTTTATTTTTTTTGGTCTTCTGCTAGTGCAATTAGAAGTTCCTGATACTGTTTGAATTAATTGTTAGACTTGAGATTGTTTCAAGTCATACTTGAAGGATACAAATCTGCTGGTGATTGTCAATCATTTTGGTCATCTTGACTCATCTATAAGCATTTTATTCCCTAGCTTTTCCATTTCCTTCTCTTGTAACAACAACAGTATAATCATACTCATAGCACAAACAAATGAGCAGGATGTTTTTATATTTCCTTGCCTTTTCATTTTTACCTAAAATTGGCAGTTGTGGCGATACTCTCTTCTTCTTCTTCTTCTTCTTCTTCTTAATAATTATATCGTGGTGAAACATATTCACATTTCTTGGGCTAAAAATCATGGAGTAAGTTTTGCTCGCACGTGTATAGATTTCTAGTTTTCTGAATTTTCTTGCTATTCTCATCTCCTGATGCATTGTTTTGCACTTCAGGAATGTTGTTTCATTTAATGATCCCCCCTGGCAAAGGTAGAGGCATCCCATACTTTTATATGACTATTCTTGATCCAACTGCGAAAAATGCGTTACAAGACCAGAGGTCTTCATTTACTATCAGCGAATACAGTTTAGGAACTTGTGGAAAGAAAGACCCTGAGAACCCCAGTTGTGCAAAAATTACGTTGACCGGAAAGGTATGTTGCAAAATCAAGCATCTTACATATATGTTGATGTTTGGTCTAGTGTACACAAGAATTGTATTGAATTAGGTGCCTAAGATCCATTCCATAGGAGAGCAACTAGTCTATTCTATATGTACATGTAACAAAGCCTAGAAACTTCATTGCTAACTTTCTGATTCTTTTTAGGCATTTTAATTAATTTTTCAGGTAGTGGTGCAACCGAAAAAGAACAACAACCACAGCACATAATATAGAGTATAGATGACAACTTAACACTGAAATTTTGCAAGAAAATAAAGTCATAGCAATAGTTATTTGGAACCACGACGGCTCTCAAAACTCTAATTCTCAGATGTCTCAATTAACTCTCCGAACTTAACCCTAAACAAGATAATTGTAATAAGAAATGTTTCTATTTAGGAAATATCTAGGATAGGATATTCTGTACTAAGTAGGTCTGATCTAAACATTGAAATTCCAGTTAGGATATCTTAAACTAGGAAAGAGAATAAATCTCCTAAGAAGAAATCCCTATTCTAATTATTCTTATTTTTACCTGCATCAACTCCCCTCGATTGAGAAAGACTCCACTCCTGGCAAGTTAAAACTTCTACATGCATTAGGAGTGTCCCGTTGTTGAAGCCCATCAAGGTACTCCATGAACAGTGCCATGCTTCTAGGGTCAATTTTGATTCTTCATCGTCACACATAAAACACCTTCCTCGATTCAATATAATACCAGCCAAAAGAGTCTTAAAACACCAAACAAGCAACTATCCTTCCTGAAAGAAAATAAGATAGCGACTGAAAAACTTATATTGGTAGAAATACATTCCTTTGAAATGTTATTGAGCATTAATAAAGAATTTGAATTTGCTGTCATTGCACCATCTGACTCCAAAATGGCACTATTAGGCTTGTGTTGCTGATTTCTCTATAAGCATTCACTGTTCATTCTTGACAAGGTTATGAAAAATTTGGTTCTGTTATATCTTCCTCATCAGAACAAGGGTTAAACATTGCCAACCTATGGAACTGTCCGTGTTGGCTTGTTCAACTTTGAAATTTTCATGAAAAAGATTGAAATTACCATTTGACCGATCACTTTCAGCACCAAATCTGAATTATCATCAAAGTTTCCTTCCTGATTTCCTTCTTCCTGCAACGACTGTGTTTTGTCTCACACATGACCATCACCTGGTTTCTCTTGATGCAGCAGCTATGGCTGCTGCGATAGGCCACCCACTTGTGTTGCCAAATCCAACCAATGTTCTTCCTGTTGTTTCTAGTTCAAAGTCCTTTCCCTGTCATAGCTTGTAACAAGTTCGCAACATGAAAGCTCAGTCTAATACTAAAACTTGGTGTCGTTACCAAAAAGCAAAAACACAGCACACAATAGAGTCTAACTCGTTGGATTCCACTGTCTAATGCTTTAGGGAATATCTAATATAGGATATTGTATATTATATAGGACTAATCTAAAGATAGAAAATTCCACTTATGATCTAAACTAGGAAAGAAAACAGGCCTCCTAAAATAAAATTTCTTTTCTTTTTATTCTGGCTTCTGCTTCATCAGATAGGTAAAAGAAATTGTCATTTTAAAGAACTCCCATTTGGATGGACGCTAAACATTTAATCATTTCTTTTTGGAATTTAAGGTTTTTATTACTCACTAGTTTCTCTTGATTTCCTCAACTTGAAAGCTTTTCCACCATCAAGGTACAAGGTGCAGCTTTACTGAGTTCCAAAGCAGGAAGAATAGCTAGTTGAAGTTGGACTAACTGGAAGTATTGCTGCTGTTTTTTTTTCTGATCAAGTTGGACTAACAGGAAAAAATCAATTATCATACCAAACTCTTGCTGCTGTTTTTTTTTTTTTTCTTTTCCTTTTCTTAATTGGTAGCTTGTTGATACGATTTTTCTGGAAAGTTGGACTAACTGGGACATATGATATGTTAGTTGAAGGTACTAAACGAAAAATCCAAGGAAGCAGAAATAGCTAGAAGTGCCCTGTTTACAAAGCATCCAGAGATGAAGGGTAATATACATATATTTGTAACAGCCCTTTTCCTTTACATATTTTGCAAATCTGAAATTCTTACAAGGAGTTGCCTAAAAAGTAGACTGTAGTTTGGCACCTTTTTATCTTACTTGTCAACGATAAGTAAATAAGAAAGAAATAAAGTGAAATAGAAGCAAAGATATTGTCCATTTTTACGTTTTGAGATACTTTAAAATTATTATCAAAATATTAAAAAATCAAACTATTAATTACTTGGTATTACTATTATAATCTTGATTGCAACCCACTTTAATCATTTCAGTTCATTTTTTCTCTTTTATGTACATTCAAATGAAGGCTAATTAGATAATAATAAAATTAGTGTAAGTTAATTTGAAAACAAATAAAATGGTCAATAACCGCTTATATTAACAAAGGGTAATTACATACGAATATATATAGAAGGATAATTACATTGTCAATAGTATCTGAAATATTGATACCAAGATGCAAGTGGCTATGCTTACCAAAACTCAACAAAGGGACGAAGGACATCTTTAGCATTAGTCTGCTCCCACTCTACTGTCTCCCACCATTCTTTTGGTTTTATAAAGATTGCTTTAAGAGAAGGGGGAACCGATGGCGGCTCATTGTCAAGCAATGAAAGACAAATTGGCATCCTTTTTAGCTTCCGACATTCTGCTACAACAATTACTTGGAGAGAATCGCAAATCAGTTTTGCACTACAAATGCTTTTCAGTTCTGGTAAATCTATCAATATCAGATGCCTTAACTTTGGGAGCCTGAATTCTTCACCCGTAACCCCTGCTTCATCTCTTCTTGCTATTATATCCTCCATTGCCTCACAAGATTGAGCATCAATCACTTCCAGATTTACAAGGTTTCGCAACAAGACAGGTGGGAACAGTTTCTTCATACTTCTACATCCGTGACACTCAAACTTTCTAAGACAGGAAAATATAACGTTATAAGATGGAGATGGTGGTGGAGCAGAGCAGAACCAAGAAGGCGAAACCAAGCTCTCCATGCTACTGCAATCCCAAATCTTGATGGCCTCCACTTCAGTTGCATACTTTATTAATGATGAAACATCCCATAAACTTTTGATCCTCAAGTCGATCAACCAAACTTCTTTACTTAAATCTAGCCACACTTCATCCTCATAAACTGCCTCATGCATTTGTCCTACCGAAATATGATATCTGCTCAGTGATTTGGTCTCATCCAGATATTTGTTGAGATACTCTACGAAGTCAGATTCACCTTTGAAACGGCAACTCAAAATTTCCAACTTCCTCAAGCAAGCTACTTCCTTTGCTTCAACTGTTAGCATAGCATATACACCCATTATCAAAACTTGCAGTTTAAGGAGTTTAGGTAATATGCCACTAGGAAACTCCTCTACAAAACAACCATCCAGTGCAAGATACGTCAAGTTGGATAGACATTCCATGCCTTGAGGCATCTTTTCAAGTGCAAAACTACCAGAGACATCCAACCTCTCCAGTGTCGTGAGCTTCTGTAATGATGGTACGTGCCTCAACTTCTCGCAACTTTGTAGCAATAATGCTTTGAGACTCGTCAAAACAGAGATGGAATCTGGCAATTTTTCAATGTCAGTATCAGACAGATCAAGAATCTTGAGCCCATGCATTTCCTTGAAGAAAGAATCCTCAATAAAGTTTTAAATTATTACAGGATAGCAGTAGAGTTGATAGATTGGGACACCTTGGAGAATGGCTAGAAGGAATTCTGCTAATTGGGTTTTTCATTAGTGAAACTCTCACAAGATTCTCTGTCCACTCCTCTGCATCCGGCAATTCTCTTAATTGTGCACCTGCTTTAACCATGACTGCAGAGTTCTCTTGCTGTATTTGGAGGGATATGTCCCTAATCAAGTCATGCATCCTGACATATTTATCACCATCATATCTACCCCTTTCTAGTAAGCAGACACTTAGAAGTTTATTAAGCATCGCCTGCCCCTTGTCAAATTCTGCCTGCCTACTCTTCATCCTTTTTATTACTCCCTCGTCGATCAAATATCCTATCAACTGATCCCTCTGGATGTCAAAATCTTCAGGAAATAATGAACAGTATAATAAACATTGTTGCAGTGATGAATCCTTCAGGTGTGTGTAACTAAATCTCAATATTCGAAATACCTCAGGTTCCATGTCATCTTGCCTAACTATTGATTCTTCCAATTCCCCCAACACATCCCTCCACTCGTGTATGTCAACCACTCCCCTCATGGTTGCAGCCATTGTTGTAATTCCTAGAGGCAAACCAGCACATTCCCTTGCCACAGATTTTGCAATTCGTTCGACTTCTGGAGGAAGAGGAAGTGCTGTTTCACGTCCGTGTTTCTCCTCGAACAAAGTCCAAGCTTCTTCGCTTGAAAGAGGCTCCACTTTGATCTTCGTTTGGCATTCCATCACTTGACAAACCCTTTCTGATCGAGTCGTAAGAATCACCTTGACTTGGACAGGAATACCCACCCTGTGTAGATCAAAGTGATTCCACAAATCATCTAAAATCAGAACGCATTTCTGTTTGTTCATTAATGCTTTTGACAATTTGGCAGCTCTGTACAGCTCCTCCTCTTCATTGGAGAGATCTAAATCAATACATCTTGCAATACTGTTCTGCAATCTTTCAATGCTGAAATCTTGAGAAACGGTAACCCAGTAAACATGACAGGAAGTGTCTAAAAGCTTATTATGGATATGTGTCATCAATGTCGTCTTACCCACGCCGCCCATCCCATAGATGCCAATACTTGAAACTTCATCGTTCTTCAACGAATTACAAATCTTCTCCTTATTCTCTTTGAACGCTTGACCCACAAGCTTTGTTGTTGGTACTGCATCTCTTTTACTCTCATTTGTGTTGCGTGTAATCCCTTCAGAAGAGCTAGCTCCTGCACCAAGCTGCGCTACTCCTCCAGTCCCATCCTCGATACCATCCTTCATTAAGAAATGACAGATCTCATGCCAACTTCTTCCAATTGCTTGACCCACTAGATTTGGTGCATCAGCTATAAGCCCCTCCGCAGTGATACTCGTGTCAATTTGCATCGTTTCTCCAGCCATGTTCTCCATGTGATTTCCTGCTTCTGCACGTGAAGAAGTTGTCCCTTCTTGCACTCCTTGCTCAGTGCCCTGGACTGCCATTTGTAGCCTTCCTACTTCTCTTGCCAAATTTTGGACTTCATTGTATTCTTCTTGTGGGCGAGATGAAATGACATTATCATTGACATTGCTTGAAGTTGCTATGGTTTTTTGTCTTTTGTTGCCACCGCGCATAGCTAGAAAGGCGGCTTCTTGAATTTGTTTAGGCACTTCACCACAAATGACAACACCATGGCCTTTCTCTCCCGATAAATGCCATTTGATCCTCGAAATGGAAGTGTCTTTGGCAAATGGATGCCCACAAAACTGACACTGCATACTTCCATCATTCATCTCTACAACATGATTCCAAAATGCATCCCTATTTGACAGATCCATTTTTGCCTTTTCTTTGATAAGTGGCTCTGTAGAAAAGGAAAAAATATATAGAAAAAGATTTGTCAGCAGATTGAATAAAAATTAAAATAGTAAGTTGAATGAAATGGAAAAGGGAAATTAAAATAGTAGGTTGTGTTTCCGAACAATTTACGTCCTGTCAACAACCGCGATTGCAATGATGTTTCCTTACTTCAACCAGGTTATTGGATTTATAGGAGCATCAGGCTTTTTCCCCTTGACTATATACTTTCCTGTGGAAATGTATTTTAAGCAGAAAAATATCGAAGCATGGACAACTAAGTGGATCATGCTTCGAGCCTTCAGCTTCATCTGCCTGTTGGTGACAGCATTTGCTTTGATTGGATTAGTCGAAGGGCTGATAAGTGCAAGACTGAGCTAAGGGACCAAATGGATTGTCCTGAGGCAGAATTACTGGTTATGGTGAAGGCATCTCCAAGTTTTAGTTGAGAAGTCATGGGTTCATCACAGCTATATATATATGAAACCTGGAATTCTTTAAAGCATGATTCCCACTTCCCTGTGACAAAACCAACATTGTTGTGCCCTCTTGCTCTCATGCTAAGTGGGCACTCTTCAAATTTGTGGTAAAGTTCATATTTGGATAATAGAGATAAATTATAGAAAAATTGTTGGAGGAATAATTCAATAGCATAATCAGGTTTAATCTAATAGTTGTCTATTCGATAGCTTCTTTTTTTCCCCAAAGAAACAAGATTCGAGTCTTAATTACTTATTAGTAATAATTGTACAATGAAAGAAAATTACTAATTGTATAGTTCGGAATCCATTTTATTTCTGATTGAACCGAAAACAAGCTTTTACTAATTGAAAAGGTGGCAACTATAATTAAACATTTGGCAATGTTTTGGGCTTAATGGATAATATCCAAGCGGGCAACCCAATCTTGTTCGCTTCGGTAGGATTTTGGTACATCAACAAAGTTTCAGGCAACATGTTTTGTACGAACCAGCTAAAAATGGTACAAGATTAGTAGTCAGTTACATCTATCTACGAACTCTTCTTACAAGTTGTACAAAGCAAACTCATCCGTTCTTTCTCAACTCTCAAGGGTGTGTCAAAACGATGACCCACACGTGAATGGCTACGTGCAATGCAACAACGTTAAACTTCACTTGTTCTGGTTTCAAATGCATTGGAGTCCCTTACTATGGAGGTGGTAAATTTGTGTGATCAAAGCAGAAAGCTACCCAACCGAAAGCAATGCAATGACCTTCAATAATTGTCCTACAAATAGTATACAAAAATTTTAACGTAGAAGTCATCAGCATGTTTATCTTTATCTTCACTACACAGTGGGTCGAACCTCAATTAAATTAAGGTTTCTTTAAGTGGCCCATCAAAGAAAACTTGGCCCATTTACATTTCTTCCTTTACATTGAAACGAAATGGAATTTGGTATTTGATTTATTTCATAAAAAAATTTATTAAAAAAAAAAGTCAACTTCCATCTCCTTTTTAGAATGTTGCACAAACTATATGAATAATTATTGAGTTTGTGAAAATTAATTTTTTTATTTTCAACAACTTACTCCAAATATGTTATTTTCTGTAGCAGTTTCTTTCACTGATAATGTGTATGACATAATTTTTTTATTCTCCAATAATATACATATTATTTGGATTGGAATACGGTTTGCCTTACGAATCTTGAGTCCAAGATCATGTTTTTTTTAGATCTTTCGTTGGTTTTGTACCGAGTAACTTGACTTGTGACGAAACTTGCAGAAAACGGATATGTTAAGGGTGACATTGCAGGAGTCCCAGCTTACAGTGCAGTTGAGAAAGTATGGAATATATCTCAAGCACTTGTAGATATTGCATATGCCTTTCCATTTACCCTGAATAGGCCATTTTTTATCTTAGAAAGAAAAATATCAAACACTGAATGATGATGGAACTTGAAAAACATGCTTGAAGGATACTTTAAAATCACCTCCTTCAGAAAACAAGACTATGAAAACTGCCTCAACAATAGCAGTCATTGCTACAACAACTTTCTACCTCTGCTGTGGAGGCTTTGGTTATGCAGCTTTCGGAGAAAATACACCGGGGAACCTATTGACAGGATTTGATTTTTTTGAACCGTATTGGCTTGTTGATCTTGCTAATGCTTGTATCGTGCTTCATCTAGTTGGTGGCTATCAGGTACATGTCCGTTGATCTCAAGGAAGGCAGCTCTATTATTATTCAGTACATACGGAGTTGTATTCCCGTCTATGGATCGAAAGTACAACTCCGGATATACCTAATAATTTCTTGCGAACTTGATTTATAATGTCTTTGCAGGTTTTCACTCAACCATTATTTGCAAACATTGAAAGCTGGATTGCTAAGAACTACCCAAACAGCAGAGTTATAGGTAAAAATTTCACCTGCAAACTGCCATGGTTGCCAGCTTTCCAACTAAACCTCCTCAGGCTATGTTTCCGAACAAGCTACGTCGTATCAACAACGACAATCGCAATGATCTTTCCTTACTTCAACCAGGTTATTGGACTGTTAGGAGGGTTGAATTTGTGGACCTTAACTATATGTTTCCCTGTGGAGATGTACTTCAAGCAGAGAAATGTTGAAGCATGGTCAACTAAGTGGATCATGCTTCGAGCCTTTAGCATTATTTGCCTCTTTTTGTCAGCATTTGTTTTGATTGGATCAATTGAAGGGCTGATGAGAGCAAGATTAGGTTAAGGACTGTATTGTATATTTGTATTGATCCTATTAGTTAATGCAGAATTTTACAACTGGTTAAGCTAAGGGCATCTTGAAATTTTAGTGGAGAAGCTAGCCAAGAAGCCAACTCTTGAACCTTTTTGGTTCTCTTTCGTTATCTTTGATATGAAAATATTCTTACTATCGAACCAAAAACGCAAATGTATTTATTTTTACATATTTATTTCTATTTATTTAATAATTTATTATTAATCTTTTACAAATGGCATGCTTCCTGTTTTATATATAATTAAAAAAATTAGATAGATACACATTCAAGCCTAACGGCAATTGACATTAAAATGTAAAACCTGAAATTTTGAGTAAATTATAAATTAGTCCCTCTGTTTTTTTAGAAAGAAATTATTTAGTTCTTTTTGTTTCAAAAACTAATTATTTAATCTCTCGATAGTATTGAACATGTATAATTTAATATACCATTTTTTCAAAAAAAAATTATTTTTTTAAATCAATCCTTCCATATTTTTTACTTTTTTTTCCTTTTTCTATTTCTTAAAAAAAATCAAATAATTTTGTTTTAAAAAAGAATTGAGTTACAAGAAAGTTTTAAACTATAAGAATTAAATAAAAAGGACTAATTAACTCATTTTTTCAAATAGAGGAACTAATTTATAATTTATTCCAAAAATTTTACCGAGTTTGACTTTTTTTTCCGTCTTTTGGTTCCTGGATTTTTTCCCCCTCTTTCCATTTATAATTTTAATTTTTTTAGTGGTTGAAAAATTTTAGATTAATCGAGGAGTATTAACTTACTTTATTAAAAAAAAATTGACAAAAAAATATAGGAGAAAGAATAAAAAATTAAAAATTAAAATTAAGTGAATATATATATATATATAGTGGGTTTGCATGTAATTTTTCTCTCTCTCTTTTATATCCTTTTCTTTTCTCAAATTTAGTGTATAATTATTATAAATTTCTCTTTTAAGTAATTTAAAAATTGCACCAAGAATTCAAATAATTCTGCTAAAAATAGTAATTTCATTGGTCTCCTTTCTTCAATATAGTTCGAGGCAAAAAAAAAAAAAAAAAAAAAATCTTGACCAAAATGACAGAAGTCTTTATCATTTAACAAGCAGTCAAACCTAATGGCAATTGGCATGCGTTAATGATTTTATATTGAGGGTAAATTGTCTTTTCCATATGGTAAGAAATTTTACAAAGTAAAATACCAGGCAGCGGAAAATGAAAGAGCAGTAGAGAAAATCGATCATCATCTGCACATTCTTTGGTTTCCTTTTATTATTATTATTTTTTTTTTTTTGTATATAATTACAGAGCAGAGACACTGTGCAGAAGGTCTTCGTCTTGGTTTTGCTCCTAAAAAATGGATACCAAAAACCTTATTAACTTTTTCTATGCTCTCTTCCTCCTTGTGGGTTTTCAAGATTCTGTACGGGGAAGGTTGTTATTAATCAAGAAACCTGACCCAACTAATGCTGCTGGATCAGCTCGTTGGTTGGTCTCCCAGAATTCGTGGGGTGTCTTGAAGTATGTATTCTCTTTCCCTCACTTCCTTTTTTTTTTTTTCATTTTAGTTGTCTTATTGCTTGTGCTCATTTTGAAATGGTTTGGCTTTTGGCAAGTTTAGATGGTGATTTTCCATTTGATTCTTTTTTCAGTACTATATCAAGTGATTTGGGAGGAGCACCTTTTGGGTAAGTTTTGCCATTTCTTTTGCTATAAAGTTCTTCTTTAATCTCTTGTTATTAAGCGATGCCTTCAGAAACAACTCATTGAGACATTGACAAGATGTTACTTCAAAATAGTAGATGTTGTCTTCTAAATGTTTAGGATACAGTTATTAGCTGTTCTGGTTTGGTTCCGACCGAATTGCATGTCGTACAATTGAGATGATTTAGAATGTTTTTTAAAGCAAGGGGAACTGTGCTATTTTTTCACACCAGCCTTGGGGCCTCAGCCCTCAAGATTACAAAGATTTCTACATTTAAGTGTAACCATCTGAGACCTTTTGGGAACATTAAGCCATTTCTAGGTGTTTGGTTTAAACATTTTCTGAACTCTAGGAACTTTTGTATCGGTAGGATTCTTGCATAAGATTAACCAAAATGTATTATTCTCATTGTTAACTTGAGACTTAATTTTTATTCTAACAATTCAAGAGATAAACTGACTGTAAAAGGTTCGAATATTTTTTGAGGGGCTTTTTATTTTTTTCGGTCTTCTGCTAGTGCAATTAGAAGTTCCTGATATTGTTTGAATTAATTGTTAGACTTGAGATTGTTTCAAGTCATACTTGAAGGATACAAATCTGCTGGTGATTGTCAATCACTTTGGTCATCTTGACTCATCTATAAGCATTTTATTCCCTAGCTTTTCCATTTGATCACACACCCGCTGGGTTTTCTTTGAGCCTTTTCTCCATTAAATGATAAAAATGGGTTTTCCTTTTACTTCTACCAATACGAGGTACAACCATCTTTTCATTTCCTTCTCTTGTAACAACAACAGTATAATCATACTCTCTTCTTCTTCTTCTTCTTCTTCTTAACAACAACAAACAAATAAACAGGATGTTTTTATATTTCCTTGCCTTTTCATTTTTACCTAAAATTGGCAGTTGTGGCGATACTCTCTTCTTCTTCTTCTTCTTAATAATTATATCATGGTGAAACATATTCACATTTCTTGGACTAAAACTCATGGAGTAAGTTTTGCTCGCACGTGTATAGATTTCCAGTTTTCTGAATTTTCTTGCTATTCTCATCTCCTGATGCATTGTTTTGCACTTCAGGAATGTTGTTTCATTTAGTGATGGCCCCCCTGGCAAAGGTAGAGGCATCCCATACTTTTATTTGACTACTCTTGATCCAACTGCGAAAAATGCATTGCAAGACCAGAGGTCTTCATTTACCATCAGCGAATACAGTTTAGGAACTTGTGGAAAGAAAGACCCTGAGAACCCCAGTTGTGCAAAAATTACGTTGACCGGAAAGGTATGTTGCAAGATCAAGCATCTTACATATATGTTGATGTTGCAAAATCAAGCATCTTACATATACGTGTACACAAGAATTGTATTGAATTAGGTGCCTAAGATCCATTCCATAGGAGAGCAACTAGTCTATTCTATATGTACATGTAACAAAGCCTAGAAACTTCATTGCTAACTTTCTGATTCTTTTTAGGCATTCCTTATCAAGAATTTGAATTTGTTGTCATTGCACCGTCTGACTCCAAAATGGCACTATTAGGCTTGTGTTGCTGATTTCTCTATAAGCATTCACTGTTCATTCTTGATAAGGTTATGAAAAATTTGGTTCTGTTATATCTTCCTCATCAGAACAAGGGTTAAACATTGCCAACCCATGGAACTGTTCGTGTTGGCTTGTTCGTCTTTGCAATTTTCATGAAAAAGATTGAAATTACCATTTGACTGATCACTTTCAGCACCAAATCTGAATTATCATCAAAGTTTCCTTCCTGATTTACTTCTTCCTGCAACGACTGTGTTTTGTCTCACACATGACCATCACCTGGTTCCTCTTGATGCAGCAGCTATGGCTGCTGCGATAGGCCACCCACTTGTGTTGCCAAATCCAACCAATGTTCTTCCCGTTGTTTCTAGTTCAAAGTCCTTTCCCTGTCATAGCTTGTCACAAGTTCCCAACATGAAAGCTCAGTCTAATACTAAAACTTGGTGTCGTTACCAAAGAGCAAAAACACAGCACACAATAGAGTCTAACTCGTTGGATTCCACTGTCTAATGCTTTAGGGAGTATCTAATATAGGATATTGTATATTATATAGGACTAATCTAAAGATAGAAAATTCCACTTATGATCTAAACTAGGAAAGAAAACAGGCCTCCTAAAATAAAATTTCTTTTCTTTTTATTCTGGCTTCTGCCTTCATCAGATAGGTAAACGAAATTGTCATTTTAAAGAACTCCCATTTGGATGGATGCTAAACATTTAATCATTTCTTTTTGGAATTAAGGTTTTTATTACTCACTAGTTTCTCTTGATTTCCTCAACTTGAAAGCTTTTCCACCATCAAGGTACAAGGTGCAGCTTTACTGAGTTCCAAAGCAGGAAGAAATAGCCTCTTGCTGCTGATTTTGTTTTCTTTTCCTTTTCTTAATTCGTAGCTTGTTGATATGATTTTTCTGGAAAGTTGGACTAACTGGAAGTATTGTCTCATCTGATATGTTAGTTGAAGGTACTAAAAGAAAAATCCAAGGAAGCAGAAATAGCTAGAAGCGCCCTGTTTACAAAGCATCCAGAGATGAAGGGTAATAAACATATATTTGTAACAGCCCTTTTCCTTTACATATTTTGCAAATCTGAAATTCTTATAAGGAGTTGCCTAAAGAGTAGATCGTAGTTTGGCACCTTTTTATCTTATTGTGTTTCGCTCACTTTGCGAACTTGCATATTTTGCTTTTGGATTGTTGACAGGTTGGCCTAAGGGTCACAACTTCCAGTTCTTCAAATTAGACATCGAGGATATATTTTTGATCAATTGGTTCGGTGGTCCTAAGCCTCTCACAGTTGATCAGTATCTACATTATAAAGTGTGAGTAATCGAGCAGAGATCTTGTGTTTTGTTATCAATCACATGACTGTACTGTATTTTCTTCAGAATTAATAAATTGATGAATTGATTCTAGTGTGAATTGAATGGATTAGATTTCTTAAGCTCATAGAGGTGTTTGGTATGACCTTGTTTTGAAAATTAAGAAAACTTATCTATCCGTATTTTATGAGTCAAGATTAAAGATTGATTTTGACTCATAATTAACAAGAAGAGGGAGACTTGAAACATGGTTTACATTGTTGTTGCCAGTCACATTCTTTTAAGTATTTTGTCTAAAGTAATTTACGAAAAGTAACTTCATTCGACATGATTGCCAAAACTTATATACCGTTCATATCAAACATATCGAAGCTGTGTTCTCTTGCTGATGCATTTCTTTTTCCCAAACATGGGTTTGTATATTCAAATTACAGGGATGAACTTGTTGATACTTGATAGTTTGGAATGCCCTAAATGATCTCTCTGAACATTGTGGATGGCAAATGTGCATATTGAATCTACTGTAAACAGGAAGATATGATTGTTGTATTCTTCTTCTTTTTTTACTTGTAATAATTATACCTCATTCTATCATCTGGCAACTGTAAGCAAGTTGAATGCTATCATTTGTTCAGAATAATGACTGACAATATTTTTATATCCGTATTTCTTTCTTCCCTAACTGTTAATGTAATCCCTCTAGTTATTTCTTAAAACAAAAAAATCCAACTCAATTGAAGAAGAATGAATGGATTCAGTTATAAGAAAATTTAAAAATATAGAGGCTTAATAATTAGTTTTGAAAAATAAAGAGGACTAATTCATTTATTTTTTGAAATTAAAGGGACTAATTTATAATTTACTCACACAGCTGCTTTTTGAAATTAAAGGGACTAATATATATATATTAGAAGGATAATTATTGTCAGTACATCACTTAAGAGTTTTTATCAGTCAAGTATATAAACTTTTTTTTTTTTCCGATATGCCAAATTCTTCTATTTTTCCATTTAAGTGCTCTCCTCCAATGGCTTGACTTCGGTCAATTAATATCATTACTCATAAGAGGGTTTTAACAAAAAAAAAAAAAAAAATTCCCTCCTACTTGTCGACAATAAAAAAAAAAGAAAAAGAAATAAAGTGAAATAGACGCAAAAACAATTTCCTCCACTAATTATTTTTTTCAATAAATAAATAAATCTTATCTATTCCGTTTTAAAGATATTGTCCACTTTTATGTTTTTAGATATTTCAAAATTATTGTCAAAATATTAAAAAATCAAACTATTAATTACTTGGTATTACTATTAAAATCTTGATTGCAAATAAATAAAAATAAGAAAGAAATAAAGTGAAATAGAAGCAAAGACAATATCCTCCACAAATTATTATTTTTTTAAAAAAAATCTTATTTATTCCGTTCTAAAGATATTGTCCACTTTTATGTTTTGAGATATTTCAAAATTATTATAAAAATATTAAAAAAATAAAACTATTAATTACTTGGTATTACTATTATAATCTTGATTGCAACCTACTTTAATTATTTCAGTTCATTTTTTTACTTTTATGTTCATCATTTTATTCTCCTAATAAAACTTAACAAAGGGACGAAGGGTAATTACATACGAATATATATAGAAGGATAATTACATTGTCAATAGTATCTGAAATATTGATACCAAGATGCAAGTAGCTATGCTTACCAAAACTGAACAAAGGGACGAAGGACATCTTTAGCATTAGTCTGCTCCCACTCTACTGTCTCCAACCATTCTTTTGGTTTTATAAAGATTGCTTTAAGAGAAGGGGGAACCGATGGCGGCTCATTGTCAAGCAATGAAAGACAAATTGGCATCCTTTTTAGCTTCCGACATTCTTGTACATCAATTACTTTGAGAGAATCGCAACTCAGTTTTGCACTACAAATGCTTTTCAGCTCTGGTAAATTCACCAATATCAGATAACTTAACTTTGGGAGACTGAATTCTTCACCCGTAACCACTGCTTCATCTCTTCTTGCTATTATATCCTCCAATGCCTCACAATGTCTAACTTCAATCACTTCTAGATTTACAAGGTTTCGCAACAAGACAGATGGGAACAGTTTCTTCATACTTCTACATCTGCAACACTTAAACTCTTTAAGACTAGAAAATATACCGTTATAAGATGGAGATGGTAGCGGAGCAGACCAGAACCAAGAAGATGAAAACAAGCTCTCCATGCTCCTGCAATCTCGAATCTCGATGACCTCCAGTTCAGTTGGAAACTTTATTAATGATGAAACATCCCATAAACTTTTGATCCTCAAGTCGCTCAACCAAACTGCTTTACTAGAATATAGCCACCCAAAATCATTATGAACTGCCTCATGCACTTGTCCTACCGAAATATGATATCTGCTCAGTGATTTGGTCTCATCCAGATATTTGAGATACTCTACGAAGTCAGACTCACCTTTGAAATGGCAACTCAAAATTTCCAACTTCCTCAAGCAAGCTACTTCCTTTGCTTCAACTGTTACTGAAGCATATACATCCATTATCAAAACTTGCAGTTTAAGGAGTTTAGGTAATATGCCACTACGAAACTCCTCTACACCACACCTATCCAGTGCAAGATACGTCAAGTTGGATAGACATTCCATGCCTTGAGGCATCTTTTCAAGTGCAGTACTAGCAGAGAGATCCAACCTCTCCAGTGTCGTGAGCTTCTGTAATGATGGTACGTGCCTCAAATTCACGCAACTTTTTAGCAATAATGCTTTGAGACTCGTCAAATCAGAGACGGAATCTGGCAATTTTTCAATGTCAGTACCAGACAGATCAAGAATCTTGAGCCCATGCATTTCCTTGAAGAAAGAATCCTCAATAAATTGCAAATTATTATAGGATAGCAGTAGAGTTGATAGATTGGGACACCTTGGAGAACGGCTAGAAGGAATTTCTTCAATTTGGGTTTCCATTAGTGAAACTCTCACAAGATTCTCTGTCCACTCCTCTGCATCCGGCAATTCTCTTAATTGTGCACCTGCTTTAACCATGACTGCAGAGTTCTCTTGCTGTATTTGGAGGGACATGTCCCTAATCAAGTCATGCATCCTGACACATTCACCACCACTGACCCTTTCTAGTAAGCAGACATGTAGAAGTTTATTAAGCATCTCATGCCCCTTGTCCAATTTTGCCTGCCTACTCTGTATCCCTTTTATTACTCCCTCGTCGATCAAATAACCTATCAAGTCTTCCCTATCGATCTCAGAATCTTCAGGAAATAATGAACAGTATAATAAACATTGTTGCAGTGATGAATCCTTCAGGTGTGTGTAACTAAATCTCAATATTCGAAATACCTCAGGTTCCATATCATCTTGCCTAACTTTTGATTCTTCCAATTCCCTCAACACATTCCTCCACTCGCGTATGTCAACCACTCCCCTCATGGTTGCAGCCATTGTTGTAATTCCTAGAGGCAAACCAGCACATTCCCTTGCCACAGATTTTGCAATTTGTTCCACTTCTGGAGGAAGAGGAAGTGCTGTTTCACGTCCGAGTTTCTCCACGAACAAAGTCCAAGCTTCTTCGCTTGAAAGAGGCTCCACTTTGATCTTCGTTTGGCATTCCATCACTTGACAAACCCTTTCTGATCGAGTCGTAAGAATCACCTTGCATCCCTTGACTTGGACAGGAATACCCACCCTGTGTAGCTCAAAATGATTCCACAAATCATCTAAAATCAGAACGCATTTCTGTTTGTTCATTAATTCTTTTGACAATTTGGCAGCTCTGTACAGCTCCTCCTCTTCATTGGAGAGATCTAAACCAATGCATCTTGCAATACTGTTCTGCAATCTTTCAATGCTGAAATCTTGCGAAACGGTAACCCAGTAAACACGACAGGAAGTGTCTAAAAGCTTATTATGGATATGTGTCATCAATGTCGTCTTACCCACGCCGCCCATCCCATAGATGCCAATACTTGAAACTTCATCGTTCTTCAACGAAGTACAAATCTTCTTCTTATTCTCTTTGAACGCTTGACCCACAAGCTTTGTTGTTAGTACTGCATCTCTTTTAATCTCATTTGTGTTGCGTGGAATCCCTCCAGAAGAGCTAGCTCTTGCACCAGGCTGCGCTACTCCTCCAGTCCCATTTTCTATATCATCCTCCCTTAAGAAATCACAGATCTCAAGCCAAGTACTCATTCCAGTTGCTTGACCCACTAGATCTGGTGCTTGCGATGCTTCTCCTCTAGTCTCATGTGCATCAACTATAAGCCTCTCATCAGTGATACTTGCGTCAATATGCATCATTTCTCCTGCCATGTTCTCCATGTGATTTCCTGCTTCTGCACGTGAAGAAGTTGTCCCTTCTTCCAATCCTTGCTCAGTGCCCTGGACTGCCAAATTCTGGACTTCATTGCATTCTTCTTGTGGACAAGATGAAATGACATTATCATTAACATTTCTTGTCTTTGATCTTTTGTTGCCATCATGCATAGCTCGAAAGGCTGCTTCTTGAGTTTGTTCAGGCACTTGACCACAAATGGCAACACCATGGCCTCTCTCCCCTGATAAATGCCATTTGATCCGCGAAATAGAAGTGTCTTTGGCAAATGTATGCCCACAAAACTTACATTGCATACTTCCATCATTCATCTCTACAACATGATTCCAAAATGCATCCCTATTTGACCGATCCTTTTTTGCCTTTTCCTTGATAATTGGCTCTGTAGAAAGGAAAAAAATATATAGAAAAAGATTTGTCAGCATACTGAATAAAAATTAAAATAGTTAGTTGAATTAAATGGAAAAGGGTAATTAGATTCAATCTAAAATAATAAGTTCAAGTTGTAGAAATTAAATTGGTAAGCAAATTGTCAGTCACTAATGTATCTGATGAATCCTAACTCCAAAATTTATTAATAAAAATTTCTACAACTTGTCTCTGAGCTAAAATGAAGAATCAAACAATAGCTATATGCACGTAAAAACAAAATGATGAGAGATTAGGATATTGGTTCAAAGAAATAATTAATGTTGGAGGTGAGAGGAAGAAGTTGGTAGGAAGGAATCAAGAACTTTACCAAAAGAAGTGTTTTTCATCTTTTCTAAGGAGAAGTGGAAAAGTACGCTACAGGAGCTGGCTGACTTAAAGGACAATCGTTAGTATTTATAAAATGGCATAATGCAAGGACTGAAACTTGATTTGGTGTATATCCAGGGGACCTACTAGGAGCTATTTGTGGTGTGTTTTGTCAAATGCAAGACAACACAGTGATATTTCCTAGAAGTTAACTTCTAATTAATGATGTTTATTCTACAAAAAGCGCCTGGAATTTTATCACAATAATAATCTTGAACGGATCTTTTTATTTGGGGGAAAAAAAAAACCAAAACAACGATGGAAATTCCATTACTCCATGAAGTTAAGACAAGACAAGGAGATATATGTACAAATACAAACAGTTCCTGGTGGCCATTTTGCAACAAAACTTTATTTGATTAAAACAGCAATTGTAAAGAAGATATAAATGCAAATGCATTAGAAATTTAGAAAGAAGAATGTCATCTGCAAACTCCCATGCTTGCCAGCTTTCCAGCTAAACCTTCTCAGATTGTGTTTCCGAACGATGTATTTTATGTCAACAATAGCAATTGCAATGATGTTTCCTTACTTCAACCAGGTTATTGGACTATTAGGAGGACTCGGCTTTTGGCCCTTGACTGTATATTTTCCTGTGGAAATGTCTTTTAAGCAGAGAAATGTTGAAGCACGGACAACCAAGTGGATAATGCTTGAAGCCTTAACCACCATCTGCTTTTTGGTGACAGCATTTGCTTTGACTGGATCAATTGAAGGGCTCATAAGTTCAAGATTAGGTCACTAAATTGGACTGTTGTCCTGGTGCAAAGTTAAGCTAAATCTCCAAGTTTTAGTCATTGAGAAGAAATAGATTTATCAGACATATAAGGAACCTGGCATTGTTTAAAGCATGTAATTGTATGTAAAAATAACAGGAAAAAGCTTTACTTGCCTTTTGAAACAAATTGTAAATGTTTTAAATGATGTCTATGAACATGGGAGAAGTCACAGCAATCAATATCTTCTTCTGTCAGCAAATTTGAAAGAAGTGATAGATCATCTAAACGATGGGACTCCATTGTCACCTCATTTGGAAAACCGAGCAATTTGGGTACTAAATTCAACTATGTAGTTGACTTATCTACCCACCTACTGTGTTTTTGGTTGGTGGCAAAGATCTATTGGGTGCCCGTTCCTGTAATTTGATAACTGGATCGCATTAATTATGATTTCAAAGTGTGATTATTCCATTATGATAACTCTATCTCTTAACGTTTTTTAATCAAGTAATTGATTTTTTTTTTTGGTTAAATGAAATTATCTATCCATAAAAATAAATAAATACAAATAGTAATTTATCCTATTACAAAATGAAATTATCTATTGAATACAAATAAATTCAAATATTGAATTTACTTTAATTATTTCAATTCAATTTTTTTTTATGTACATTCTAATTAGATAATAATGATTAGTGTAAATTAATTTGAAAATAAATAACGAGAGATGCAATTAATTATACTTTTTAATCTATATATAAAAATCAAATGGTATTATAAATTTGAGATGGAAGGAGTACCAAAGCAAAATAACTACTTATTGCATTTTACATCACATCATGATTTGGTTCTACTTACGGACTTGTTTGCTTGTTTTTTTTTTTTCTTTCTTTCTTGAAATAGCAATATTTACCTAAAAATAAAACATCTAGGATGTTCACTGTTCATTAGAACAGTGAATGAACAGTTAACTTACCAGATTATCCTTCATGTACTGTTCATATGAACAGTAACCTCTTTTTTTTTTTTTTTTTTTTAGCCAAGGCTGCCCTCTTTTATTTTTTACTTAACCCGTTTTTTTTCTTTTTAAGCCAAGGCCCTTTTTTGCTTTTTTTTTTCCCCTTCCCCTTTTTATAGCCAAGCTCATCTTTTGGCTTTTAGTAAACTTTTTATTTTTTTTCCTATAATGATATTTTCATGATTTTCTCATAGTTTTTTTTTGTCCTTTATGTTTTCAAAATATATGTTTAAATCCTCATATTTTTAAAAATATTTTGAAATCTCATGTTTTTAATTTAGTCTATTTTTACCTCATTTTTATTCAAAATATACTTTTTGTTCATTATATTTTTTAAAAATATTTTTGGCTTTTTAAGTTTTTAAATTTTCAAACAAACACATATATCAAAAAAAAAAAAAAATTTATTGATTAAAATCAATATCTTAAATTTGTCGTTTATTATAAAAATTTTCATCAAATTAAATTTTTTATGAACTTTTATTTGTTGATAAATATGAATTATTTTTTTTAGCTTTGTTGAAAATTAATTATGTATTTGCATACATATCACCATCTGTCCCTTCGGTTCAAAAACTATTTTATTTTATTTTTTTTGTCGTTTTTGCTATTTCAATGTTTTTATTTTTTGTTTAAAAAAATAGAGAAAGACTAAAAAAATATAGGAAAAATATAAAAAATAATTTTTAAAATAAAAAGTTCATGGTCAACACTAATGAAAAAAATTCATTTATTCATTTTTCAAAACGACATGAACTAATTTATTATTTAATTTGTAATTTAAGAATCTTTTTCATCATAACTTAAGAAGTAAGATTTATGGGAGCCAATTTTGTAATAGTTTTTATTTCAAATTATTGATTTTAATATACTCCATACAACTTAGATGATTTTTTATTAAAAAAAATTATTTATACTATATACTCTGAATATACTAAGTATGATCTTAATATATATATATATATATATATATATATATATATATATATATATAGTTTTATTGAAAATTAATTATCTACATGCATCCATAACACCATTAGTTCCTTTGATTCAAAAAATATTTTTTTTTCTTTTAGCTATATTAATGGTTCTATTTTTTTGTTTTAGGAAATAGAGGAAGAATAAAAAAATAAGTACATATATATATAACACCATTAGTTTTTTTATAAATTAATTATGTATCTCCATACATAACACTAATTATTTGTAATTTATTCTTTTTTATATTCTAAAATTAATTTTTTTAAATAAAATAATTAAAATATATATCATTAGTTTTGTTATAAATTAATTATGTATTTACACACATAACTTTGGTTATTTGTTATTTATTCTTTTTTATGTTTTAAAATCAATTTACATTAATTATGAAAAATAAGATTGTTACCCACACTACATTATACAAATCGTTGATCTTACATACATAATTATCTGATCGCAACGTAGCGCGGGTATCAAACTCGTTGAACTACTAAAGCATTACAAGAAGATTAATTAAGACCGTAAAAGTTTGAGATTTCTATTAAAAAATAGTAGAAAATCTTTTGTTAAAATTTCCTTTAAATTGTAAGCAAGGGAAAGAAAGAAAGAATGCTGGATTTGCACTTTTCTTTTCTTTTTTTCCTTTTTCTCTTAATTAGTTCTTCGGTGTATCTTCCTAATTAACTTGTAAAATTTCCTAATCTCACACTTTAATGATCATCTAATCTAATTCCATATAGTGTTTGTAAGAACTCTAGATGCCCAATGCTGCCAGGTACCTTTAATGCAGGACGACCAAAAAGATATTGCAATTTGAAGAATCTATTAATCTCAATGGGCAACTCTCTCACTAAAGATTCTCTCACATCTAAGAACTCAAAGTTCTGCAGCTTCCTAATTGATCTTGGAAGTTTTGACACCTTAGTTTTTCTTAAGTTGAAATACTTGAGATGCAGTAAATTTCCCAATTCTTTGGGAATGTAATTTATTGGACAGTTTTCAAAATCTAATGCAGTCAATAGCTTGCATTTTCCAAATATCCAATCAATTACAGGCTTTTGAAGCTCTATTCCATTGAGGATCATAATAGAGTGTGTTTGTGACTTGGTGCTGCTTTTTCGATTCACACTTTTGTTGTTGCTTATAGAAAGGTGTCTAGCCATGCTTTTAAAGTTTGAGCAGTTACTTGAAACATGGCAAAAACTCAATTCCTCTGACTTGGAAAGAATGACCTCGCGCACCAAATCATGAACTCGAAAACGAGCCGCGAGTTCTTTTAAAACTAAAAAAATCCACTTGAACCAAACTTCGATGAATAAGTTCAATTAAGTATTCTTGTGCAACCTCTTCTAGTGTCATGCCTTGCCTTTCCTGTACAAAACCTTCAGCTACCCATAATCGAATTAGCCTTCCACGTCCAATGGAAAAATCCTCTGGAAACATGCCCAAGTATAAAAAACAAGATTTAAGGTAGTAAGGCAGATCACCATAACTGAGAGAGAGAATTTTGGCAACATTCTCAATATGTGGATCACTCCTCAATGTAGAACCAAGACTATCCAGCAATTTTTTTCACTTTAGAACCATCTTTTCTTTGCATGCTAGGAGTCCACCAATGGCCACAATGGCAAGAGGCAATCCTCCGCATCTTCCAACAATGTCCCTGGATAATTTTTCCAAATCCTTAGGACATCGCCCTTCAAAGTCACGCTTGAATGTCTTCTTGCAAAACAACTCCCACGAATCTTCTTGGCTTAGAGGTTCCAACGGATGGACATAAACCAATGAATATCTCTTACAGAAATCAGCAATACCCCAATTTCTTGTTGTTTTCAATATTTTACTACCTTTGTTATTATCCAGTAAAGCATGCTCTAAATCTTCCCAAAAGCCAATTTTCCATACATCATCGAATACAATGAAGTATTGCTAGAGTTGTAAATATTATCTGAGCTCGCCAATCAATGATGAATCTTCCATTGTGACAATGTTTTCAGGACAACACTCCTTTTTGGCTTCATAGAGTTTCCTTAGAATACTCTTCAGTAACTCTTTCTTATCATATGATTGAGACACCGAGACCCAAGCATGACATCTAAAGTGCTCTTTCACTCTTCAGCTTTTGTATACTTTTTTAGCAAGAGTGGTTTTACCCACACCCCCATGCCAACCAATGAGATGACCGTCCTTTGAGATGCTCCATCTATCAGGTAGCTTGTCAGTTCATCCCTCGATGATTCAATGCCAACAAGTTCACCTTCTTTAATGAAAAGAGAACCCATTCCAGGATCATGCAATATGGCTCTTCTTGCATTGCTAGATGCTTCTTGATCTGAAGAAATGAACTGGAATGCTCCACTTCTCTCCTTGATATTTTGAAGAGCTTTTCTAACATCTTAAATCTCTGATGCTATCTCGTGGCGTGGCTGTAATTTTATAACTAAGGAAGCAATTCTATGTAAGAATCCTACACATCCACGTCGCTCATGATGCTGTGCGACATGAAGCATATATTCGTCAATGACATCTTCAATTTGATATGCCACTTCCCTTGCTTGCTTGACCCATACTTTCACACTCTCATTGATGCCTTCTTTCTCTGCCTTCGAATCTGCATCCTTCAGGAAAGCTTTGATGGCTTCCAAATCATCTTTGATAACTACAACTTCTTCATGAATGCCTTTCAGTAGTGTCACTTCTTCTGTTAGCAAATGGAACCAACTTGTCAATAGCAAAGCTGACTGCTGACTCTGCCATTTCTCTACTCTGTCTTCTAAACCCATCGACTTGTCTTCTTACCTAAGACCATGGATTCTGAAGTTAGGCTCCCTAAACTAGTAAGTTTTATATATTTCATGTTTAGCTAAAGCATTTAACATGGCCAAATCAACTGCTTATGCCTGTCTCTCGATGACATTTAAAATATGATTACCAGATGATTCTGAGGGATTTAGTGAAATATAAAAACTCTCTCAGATACTTGATTGAGATATAGTATTTATTAGCATATATAGCAACCGCATTTTGTAGCTAATAAATCTATAAAAAAATATTTAATATCTTAATTAATTTAAAACATCTAGGTTTAAAATAAAAATTAATCAATATTAATTATGAGAATTTATTTAATTTAATATGTATCATGCAGTAATTAATAAAATATTTATATTTTATGTTTAAGTTCAAATATATCCTATGAATATGTTTGATTTTGATCAATAAAAAAAATACAATTAATTACTTTTTAAAAAATAAATGACAAAAGGGTGCTATATTAGAAGATAGTATAATTTTAGTTAATAAGCCTATAAAAAAAAAAAACAACCATTGACTATTTTAAAAAATATATTTTGACCAAATAGTAAATAATTAAAAAAATAAAGCATAAGAAAAATGAAATCTAGGAATTGTTTCGTACAAAAGTATAATTCTAAAGAAAAAAGTGTAAAAAATATGCTTAAAATGTCTAAAAAAATATGCTTAATTATTATTATTATTATTATTTTAGACAAACGATATCATTTGAAGCCAAAAAAATAAAACACCTAAACTGATGTCGTTTTGTTTACTTTACTGTAGCATGCTTTTAGCAATAATGAAACACCATTTTAGTTTATATATATATATATAGTTCAATTTTTATATCTGCTATTTGTTATCAATGATTTTGTATTACACAAACAAACTCAGACACACTTATATATCCACTATAGATTAAAATTCTCCATTAGCTATGATAATTTACAAATTGACTATTTTTACATGATCTATGAAGTTGCTAGATCGATGTGCAATTACCTTCTCAATCCTTGTCGGCTTGTTGCTAATTTTTTCATTTGGTAGTTTTCTCATGCTTAAACACTAAAATAAAATAGAATGTTGGAACACAATTAATTGGTCAATGCAATTTACATTTATATTTCAACTAGAGTTTTTGATAGCAATAAATAAATAAATTTAATTATTAATTAAATTGTTAAATGCTAACTTTTTTCCGTCGTTATCAGTATGACGAAAATAATTTCAAATGCTAAATATTTTGCAATATAAATACATCATGAATCGTTCAATAATCAAGTTAAATTAATTGACTTTTATGCAAAAAAAAAACACGTGAGAAAGATTTATTGTGCAATGCAATTTACATTTACCCTTTATAAATAAATAAAACGTGAACTTGTGCCCTTGAGAAAATTATTTGTTGCCCGAGTTGAGGTCGACAGGATTTGTGGTGAATTGAAGCCGGTTGAGTTCTAGGGACCTTGAACTTTTGGCCTCTCTTGCTATACTTATATTTTCAGGCTAAAAAAAAATGTTTCAACAAAAAATGGATTGTTCTTACACCATTTAGCTCTTATTTGCTGGCTTGTTGATATATGGCATAAACTCTTTATTTAGTATAATTATTCTCCCATGATTTATGAATGATTGATCCTTAATTATTGAGAATTAATTATATAATGTTTATGAAGCGAGTAAATATCAAGTTGGATCGATTTGGAATGAAATTGGATGTGTTTAACCGTTAGTTGCCGCAATTCGGAAAGTACAGAGATGTTAGAGTTCCGAGTAGGACACGATTGTTCTAAAGCATGCCCATGCCCATCGACAAAATCATGGTCCTAGAAGACCGAACGAATTCTCGCACGAAGTTGAGGAAAAATAGGATCTTGCTCTTATCCTTTTAACTCCGCTTCTATCTTGTTTAGGCGACTTTTGTGGAAGGAGTGCACATCCCATTCGGGGATGGAGTCTTATGGGGAATTCCTTATAAAAAGGGAAGAGAAAAACCCTAAAGGAGGCATTCGACGGGGGTAGCAATTCGGACGAGCATCTTCACCTTAAAACCCGACCTCCCTCTCAAAAGCATGAGCGACTAGATTCTTCTTTCGGTTAGAGGATTATAGAGGTTTTTGGTTCAAGATTCATTGTGAGATATTTGTAGTTTAATTATATCTTCTCTAAGAACATCAATTATTTTCTCGTGTTCATAAGACAAAGACCTCGCTTGATTGATTAAAAGACGTTTTGGTTAATTGAGTTTGAGTATTGGATGCCAACTAGAATGTTAAATTTGTATATGTTTAATTATTTCAATATCTCGTGGCAATTTGATATGATTGATGAATTGAATCATTAATTCATGTTAATGGGAATAATTGTTCCAATTTAAATAACCAAGTTTGTGTGTTATTGATTGGAAATTGATTGCTTTTCTATTTCTTCTTGCTATTATCAATTTAAATCTTAAGAGCTCGTTTAGGATTGATTGATTAAAAAGAGCTCGTGATTGAAAAGCTTATTTCAATCATCAATTATTAAGGAAAGGATGGTTATTAGAATCGTTAATAATCGAATCAATTTGTTCTTTTGAGAAGATTATCACCCATCGATGATCAATTGAATCGAACCATAACCAATATATATCTTCCGACTGGAAATTCATTCTCTCCGATTTTATTCCCTTATTTCTTTGTTTGATTTCCATTACAGACAACCTTGTTTTAATTTATCCATCCAAGAACCCCATTCAATTTTTATTTTCCTTTTAGAAAAGATCATCAACCAATCCTCGTGGAGTATGACTCTACTTCCCTTGATTACAAAAATCCATCCGTGAGAGTAGATAATTTATTTTGTTGGATTCGACACCCATCAAATTTTGGCGCCGTTGCCGGGATTAGCATCCTTATCTTATCTAATTTATTTTATGACTCGATCTTCTCATACAGTGAACTTACGTTTGATCCGTAAATTGAAAAAATAGCTCGTATATTAAGGAAAGAAACGAACAACAACATTCAGACTCCATTAATTTCAGCTCCGTAATTAGATTCTCGTCGAAGACTTGGTGTGTTCATCCAAGAAGTCTAAAGAAGAAGAAGAAATCACGGCTAATGAACGGACCTTAAGACAGATGGATGCACCAAATTTGAACTAGCAGCCACTTTCGCATTGCTTATCCCGAAATTGAGGTGGCTTTTGAGTTGAAATCGGACCGATTCATCTACTACCTTCTTTCCGTGGACTTGCGGTGAAGATCCTCATAAACACCTTAAGGAATTCCATGTAGTTTGTTCGAGTATGAGGCCACAAGGAGTAACCGAGGAACAAATCAAACTTCGTGCTTTTCCATTTTCCTTGACTCGAAAAAGCCAAAGATTGGTTATATTATTTGCCATCCGGTTCAATTACTACTTGAAATGAGATGAAGAGACAATTTTTAGAGAAGTACTTTCCAAGCATCTCGAGCTACTACCATCCGCAAGGAAATTTGTGGTATCCGTCAATACAATGAAGAGACCCTTTATGAATATTGGGAGAGATTTAAACAACTATGTGCTAGCCGCCCTCATCATCAAATTGCCGATCAGCTTGCTCATTCGGTACTTTTATGAAGGATTGTTACATTCGGAGCGAAATCGATTGATGCAGCAAGTGGTGGAGCACTTGTGAATAAAACTCCCACGAAGCGAAAGGATCGATATCAACGATGGTCGCCAACACCCAACAATTCGGTGTTCGTCAAGAACCACCTACAAGGAAAGTCAATGAGGTAGGGGTCAACTCCATTGAACAAAGACTTGATAATCTCACCTCTCCGGTGCGAGAAAATGGTTATAGGGAACCATCAACAAGTCAATGTTTGTGAAATTTGTTCGGACATGAATGACCCCACCGATTCGTGTCCTACACTTCAAGAAAGTCCTCAAGAGAATGCTAATGTCGTGGGAGGATTTCAAGGTCGGTCTCAAAGAAGATATGACCCATATGCCTTAACCTACAATCCCGGATGGAGAGGCCATCCAAATTTCAGCTATGGACGAAGCAAAATAACTTCCAGCAAGCTACGTATCGGCCAAGACAAACAGACCTCGCACCTCAATATCCTCCCTCGAAGTCAAGTATGTCTCTAGAACAAACTTTCACTCGCTCTTGCTAACAATTGTAATCAATTCCAACAAGACACGAAGGCCAGCATACAAAATTTAGAAAGCCAAATGAGCCAACTAGCTACAACGAATTGGGAAATTAGAGTCTTAAGGCTCGGAAAATTACCTTCCCAAATCGTGGTGAACCCAAAGCAAAATGCTAGTGCCATTACACTAAGGAGTGGAAAGAAATTGAAAGAACCAGTAAGGAAAACCCCGAAGTATGCTCGTGGAAGAGGAAATTGAGGTGGAAGCGAAAAAAATGACTCACAGACAAATAAATGGTGAATTGCTCGAAACCGTGGGGTTCCTCCACCCTTTCCAAGTCGTTTTGCAAAATCTAAAAAGGAACGCCAAGATAAAGACATTGTGGAGGTATTTCGGAAGATTGAGGTAAATATTCCCTTTTTGGATGCTATAAACCAAGTGCCTAGATATGCAAAGTTCCTTAAGGAACTATGCACTACAAAAAGAAAACTCAAAGGTGATGAGAGAATTCATATGGGGAGAATGTGTCTGTCGTCATCCAAAAGAAGTTACCACCAAAATACAAAGACCCGTGTATGTTCACTATTCCATGCAAGATTGGTAATATGAAAATTAAAAGAGCCTTGATAGACTTAGGAGCTTCAATAAATGTCATGCCTAGCTCAATATATCACGCTTTAAATACTCGGACTACTAAAAGAAATAGGTGTGATCATACAGTTAGCTGATAGGTCAATTGCATATCCTAAAGGAGTCTTAGAAGATGTTCTTATGCAAGTGAATGAGTTGGTATTCCCCGTAGATTTCTATATGTTAGATATGGAAGAAGATAATTCTTCTAAATCGTCACAATTCGTTGGGAAGACCATTTCTTAAAACATCTAAGGCAATAATTGATGTTTCTAAAGGTATTCTCACTATGGAATTCGATGATGAAATAATTAGATTCAATATATATGATACCATACGATTTCCTAGTGAGATAAGTCCTGTTTTTGTTATTGATGTGATTGACTCTTTAGCGCAACAAGTTTTTAAATTAACGTGACTCGATGATCCGAAGATTGCTATCATCGAGAATGTTGGTCTCAAGGAGCTGGAGAAATTGGAACAAAAATTGGTGATACATGAGCAATTGAAAGATGCGATTTTTTTGCCGAAGTCACTTAGAACTCTTAAGCATAACGTGTCTTTCATTGAACTTCCAATATCTCACACCAAGTTCCTCCCATCGGCTTTGCGAGCACCAAAATTGGAATTGAAAGCTTTGCCAAGTCACTTGAAGTACACCTTTTTAGGTGATAACCAAACCCTTCTAGTGATAATTTCTAGCAAACTTACCAACCTCGAGGAAGAAAAGTTGATTAGAGTGCTGAAAGACCACAAGGAAGCAATCGGATGGATAATTGCGGACATTAAGGGAATCAGCCCCTCTACTTGTATGCATCGTATACTCGCTGGAAGAAGATTGCAAACCCTCTGAGAGGCTCAATGCGGACTCAATCCACCAATGATGGAGTTCGTCAAGAAAGAAGTACCGAAACTCCTTGATGCGAGTATGATTTTTCCAATCTCGGACGAGTAAATGGGTTAGTCCAAGTGTAGGTTGTGCCCAAGAAGACCGGTGTTACGGTGATTGAAAACAACAATGATGAGTTAGTCCTCACTCGAGTTCAAAATGGATGGCGAGTCTACATAGACTATAGGAAGCCGAACGCTTCCACTAGGAAAGATCATTTCCCACTACCATTTATTGATCGGATGCTTGAAAGATTGGTCGGACATTCTCACTATTGTTGTTTAGATGGGTATACGGGTTTCAATCGGATACCGAGTAGCACTGGAAGACTAGGAGAAGACAACATTTACATACCCCTTTGGAACGTTTGCTTATCGCCACATGCCTTTCGGTTTGTGCAATGCTCCAAGCAACTTTTCAAAGGTGTATGGTCGATATTTTTCAAATTACATAGAGAATTTCATAGAGGTATTCATGGATGACTTTACCTGTCCGCGATAATTCCTTTGATACATGTCCGAATAATTTGGTGAAAGTGTTAAAACGATGTGTGGAAACAAACCTTGTGTTAAACTACGAAAAATGTCATTTTATGGTTGATCAAGGTTTAATTTTGGGTCATATAGTGTCATCAAAGGGAATAGAAGTTGATAAATCCAAAATTGATCTCATTAAGTCATTACCATATCCTACATGTGTACACGGTGTGTGTTCTTTTCTTGGTCATACAGGGTTTTATAGAAGACTCATCAAAGACTTCTCCAAGATCGCTCATCCACTCGCCAACTACTGCGAAGGAGGTCCTCTTTGAGTTCAATAAAGATTACGGAATAGCTTTCGACCATTTAAAGGAGTCGTTAACTTCAGCTCCTATCATTCAACCTCCAAAATGGGATGTTCCATTCGAGATAATGTGTGATGCCGACAACTATGCAGCTTGGTGCCGTACTCGATCAAAGGATTGGAAAAGCTACTCATGCCATCTACTATGCATCCGTAACTCTTGATAATGCTCGGCGTAATTATTCCACTACGGAAAAAGAATTGTTTATTGTTATATTTGCTTTAGAAAAATTTTGTTCATACTCGCTAGGTATGAAAGTTGTTATTTATTCGGATCATACAGTGTGTCAAGTACCTTCTCAAAAAGAAAGAAGCAAAATTGAGATTAATGAGATGGATCCTTCTATTGCAAGAATTCGATCCGGAAATTCTAGATAAGAAAGGATCAAAGAATTCGGTTACAGTAACATTTGAGTAGATTGGTGATCAATGAAGACCCAATACCTTTGCAAGACTCTTTTCCGGATGAGTATCTTTTTAACTTATAAAACTCAACACCATGGTATGCGGATATAGTTAACTTTTTAGTCACCGGAACTTTGCCTCGGGACTTATCTAGAGCACAAAAAGATAACATTAGGAGTGATTCTAAATATTATGTTTGGGATGACCCGTATTTGTGGAAACATTGTTCGACCAATTAATTCACGAGTGTGTTCACAAAAGTGAAATCTCATCCATTCTTAAGTTCCGTCATTCATATACATGTGGTGGTCACTTTGGTCCAAAGAGAATAGCATGTAAGGTGCTAGAATGTGGTCTCGTTTTGGCCTCGCTTCTGTTTCATGATGCATACATGTTTTGTAAATCATGTACTAATTGTCAAAGGAGTGGTGATTTAGGACACAGAGACCAAATGCCCCCGACTCCCATCCTAGTATGTGAAATTTTTGACATATGAGGTATAGATTTTATGGGTCTATTCCCACAATCTTTTGGTAATTTGTATGTAATCTTAGCCGTGGATTATGTTTCAAAGTGGATGAAGCTAAAGCCACAGGAACTAACAATGCTAAGACTCGTTGTAGACTTTGTCAAAACTCACATTTTTGCCGAGTACGATACACCGAGAGCCATAATCAATGATCGAGGAACTCACTTTTGCAATCATGTGGTGAGAACATTGATGAAAAGATACAATGTTACTCACGTAATTTCAACCGCCTATCATCCACGTACAAATGGCCAAGTCGAAATCTCGAATAGGGAAGTTAAATCGATACTTGAGAAGACTCGTCAATCCAAATAGGAAAGATTGGAGTATACGCCTTGATGACGCCTTATGGGCATACCGCACAAGATACAAAACTCCTATAGGCATGTCTCCATATCGATTGATATTTGGTAAACCTTGTCATCTTCCAAGTGGAATGGGAACACAGAGCTTATCGGGCAATCAATCAGTGCAATATGAAGATGGATAAGGTTGGAGACCATAGAAAGTTACAGTTGCGGGAGTTGGAAGAAATCGAAATGAGGCTTATGAGAATTCTAGAATTTATAAGGAGAAAACAAAGATTTGGCATGATAAAATGATTTCCGAAAAACATTTTTCGTTGGTCAAAAAGTTCTCCTATTTCATTCTAGACTTAAACTATTTCTAGGGAAACTAAGGTCTTGTTGGGTCGGTCCATTTGTTGTCACTAATGTTTTATGTCATGGTACGAGTAGAAATCCGAGTATTTCAACCAATAAAATCTTCAAGGTTAATGGACATCGTCTCAAACCTTATTATGAAGGATTTTAGGTTTGCAACATGGAAGAAATAGCTCTGGAACTTCCAAACTATGAAGAGTGAATGATGATTACGTCTAGCCAAAGATGTTAAAGAAAAGCGCTAATTGGGAGGCAACCCAAATAATAATAATAATAATAATAAAATAAAATAATATATATATATATATATATAGCTTGATTTAATTTTTTGTTTTATTCGTTTCTCGAAGGAAAATTTCAGCAGCAGTAACCATTCCATTGGAAGAATGCATTCAGGATTTACCAATGAAGAATTATCATTGAGAAGTAAGAAGCACACAAATTTCCTTTGGCATGCCCATGCCTTATTTTAGAAAGATAACAGGCTTCTTCAGCCTCTCTTCTAATGTCTTTCTGACATCTGGAATCTCTGGGTAAAAATTTCTGATAAATCTTGAGTAAGTTGCAGGTCTAATAGTAAAAAAATGGAGGAACGGTTACTTTGCTTATGTTTGTTTTTTTTTTTCATTATTTACATGTGTTACCCTTATCTTTATTTTTATTTATTATTTTTTCTCTCACTTGCCCATTTATTTTAACTCTTGTTTTTTATTTTACCCCTCTCTCTCCCCTCTTCCAAAGATTTCCACATGTTAAAAAAAAAAACCTTTTTCCCTCATCTTTCTTTCACCCGAACCCTAGCTGCCCATGCCGCCGCTACTGCTATTTCGGAATCTTAAACGGAGATCTCTCACCCAAACGCCATCACGTCTACTCCGAGAACCACTGGCTAGGATCTCTCACCCGAACCATCGCTGATCTGGTTCTGTTACGCGACTACTGCTGTTTTGCGAACCACCAGCCCAACTCGCTCTCCACCATTCCCGTCAGCAGTCACACACGGACTTGATGGTTCATTGCAAAAGTGTGGCCAGGAAGAAGAAGGTGGAAGTACGAATGGAACCACCCACATTACGAAATAAAATGGGCAAGGGTAAGTCAGCGCTTCCCCCATCAGAAAAGCAAATGGGTGGTAATGTCAAATTCACTAAGAAAAAGCACAAAGAAAGGTATGCTATTCTATTAACCCGAAAGATTGTTCCTTGCAAGCATATTGATAATCATGTGATCGATAGCTTGCCCTTGGCTTATTATTGGGATTTGGTTAGGAATTCGGGATGGGAAACTTATTTTTCTATTCATTATCCTGCATACTATGAGTTAACTAGAGAATTTTATACGACTTATGAGTTTAATTACCCTAAAGACATAACCACAGACACTCCTGGGGTTATCAATTTTAGAATGCTTGGTGTTGATCATGCTTTTTCCTTAACTGAGTTCAATTTGACTTGTGGGTTCATTACCCTTGAATTTGCCCATTCTGTTGAATATGAGGAGGCACTGTGTGACTTCCCTGATGATTTTGACCCGGCCACATCTTGCCCATCACTCTCTTCTGATGACAGACCTTATCATGCAAGCACCTCTCGTTCCACTTATCTGCGCTCACCAGACTTACGGTATATTCACCATTTCCTATCCGTGTCATTTTTTGGTACCAATGATGATTCCTCTAGACTCAGTAAGACTAAATTTTTTTTCTTGTTTTGCATGGAACATAGAATTAAGATCAATCTTGCAGCTTGGTTGGGCAGACAATTCCTTTTTATGGCTAAGAAAAAGAGAGGACATTTATGCTTAGGTTCAATCATTACTTTCATTGCTATCAAATTGGGTGTTTTGGACATGAATAAGACTAACATGCAAATTGCTTGTGAGATGGAACCCTTGGATTTTGATTGTTTACACAGGATGGGAGTTGTCTCTAAAGACAAAGAAGGGCATTACCGCATTGCTCCACCTGGACTAGGCCTTGCACCTCGGATAATTCGTTCCAAACGTAGCAGACCAACAACCACCGAATCAGATGAGGAGGCTGCTCCTTCCAATACCTCAATTTCACTAACACAATTGAAGGAGCAACAGGACCGCATGGAGAAGAACTTGATGGCATACTTTGCTCATGTTGGGTTTAGCCCTCCCTATCCACCACCAACTTAGAATATTCTGCCACCGCTGAGGGCTCATTTCAAGGAAGTTCACTAAACCTTTCTATTCCCTGAGTATTTTGTCACTTTTATTTTCTATTACACTTCATTACCATTTCCACACATTGAGGACAATGTATATGATAAATGTGGGGGAGGTAGTTTTGGAAAACTTTGCAAAATGAACCATACTGATTTTTTGGATTGATTTGAACTATAGGAATTCGAAGTGTGGTATGACCTGTGACTTGTTCTTCTGCCTTATGCTTCTTTTTGAATTGGTATTGAGCTATCATGTATTGTAAATCTGAGGTATTTAACTTAAAAATGACATGGGTAATAGTAGCTGAAGTCTATTCACCAATTTATGTTTCTCATCTCTTTGACAATTGATTTGGTTGCTAAGCATGTAAGATTTAAATATCAAATTATACAATCTCGTGAGATTTTGAGCCCATATGAACAAGTCACTACACCTTGTTCTAATTGTTTATTTTGAGTGATGTCCAACATGGTTTGATAAATCTAGAACTTGCTTAGTTATGCATGTTGAGACCACGTATATTGAATTCTTGCATAAATATCACAAAGGCACTCAGGATTAACTTTTTCTTTTTAACTCTTAAAAAGCCAAAAAAAAAAAAACCCCCTAGTTAGCCAAGTCAAGCCTTAATCTCTGCCCCTTCTTGATTAAACACCATACATTTTTCAACCATAAACCATTTTCCCTGGATTCTCCTCCTTTTACCATATTTAAAAGATGCTCTGTTTGATCACATAAAGCTAATCTTATTTTTGAGGAAACCGTAGTGTTTGAATTGAAGTACTTGGGACTGCTAAAAAAAAAAAAAAAGGGTCTGGACTCCATTGTTTAAAGTAGAATGCATGTATGTTCTCATATAGAAAAAAATCCCCTAGATCATGATGTGCATTGGCAGTGTGTCATTCAGAAAAAAAAAAAACAAAGAGTCCAGTATTCCTTCCTTTAGTTAAGAGTTTCAGTCTCTATCATTTGAAGCAGTAACGTGGTAATTCAGCTTTATGTGACTAAGTTTTTTTTTCGTTCCCTTTTGATACCTCCAGCCTAAACTCTCCTTCCATCACACCCTCACCTAAGCCCCATTTCACCCTGTTTAAAGACCTTCTGATTTTTGCATTACTTCATATCTAGTGGTGTAGATTTGATATATGAGCAAACATATGGAAATATCTTACTGTGTTGTGATATAAGAGCTTTATAATACCCTAAACACTTGAGTGTGATTTGAGTGACAACAACGTGAGGATATTTAAATATTGATGTGCTTAAGTTCTTTTGAAAATTGTTGGGTTGATGGGAAATTTAAGTGGTGCATACATTTTATGCTATGAAAAGCTTAAATCTTTGAAAGTTGATTTGATTCAAAATTTACAATGCATGATATTTCAAGAAAGTTAAGAAGCAAATGGCAAAGAGAAAGTGAATGAGATGGTTTATTTCTGTTGCTTGAGGACAAGCAAAGACTCAGCGTGGGGGAATTTGATATATGGCATAAACTCTTTATTTAGTATAATTATTCTCCCATAATTTATGAATGATTGGTCCTTAATTATTGAGAATTAATTATATAATGTTTATGAAGCAGTTAAATATCAAGTTGGACTGATTTGGGATGAAATTGGATGTTTTAACCGCTAGTTGCCGCAAGTCAGGAAGTACAGAGATGTTAGAGTTCCAGTAGGACACAATTGTTCTAAAGCGTGCCCACGCCCATCGACAAAATCGTGATCCTGGAAGACTGAACAGAATTCTCACACAGAAGTTGAGGAAAAATAGGATCTTGCTCTTATCCTTTTAACTCCGCTTCTATCTTGTTTAGGCGACTTTTGTGGAAGGACTGCACATCCCATTCAGGGATGGAGTCTTATGGGGAATTCCTTATAAAAAGGGAAGAGAAAAACCCTAAAGGAGGCATTCGACAGGGGGCAGCAATTCTGGACAGCATCTTCACCTTAAAACCCAGCCTCCCTCTCAAAAGCATGAGCATCTAGATTCTTCTTTCAGTCAGAGGATTATAGAGGTTTTTGGTTCAAGATTCATTGTGAGATCTTTGTAGTTTAATTATATCTTCTCTAAGACCCTGCTTGATTGATTAAAAGACGTTTTGGTTAATTGAGTTTGAGTATTGGATGCCAACTAGAATGTTAAATTCGTATATGTTTAATTATTTCAATATCTATGGCAATTTGATATGATTGATGAATTGAATGGTTAATTCATGTTAATGGGAATAATTGTTCCAATTTAAATAACCAAGTTCGTGTGTTATTGATTGGAAATTGATTGCTTTTCTATTTCTTCTTGCTATTATCAATTTAAATCGTAAGAGCTTGTTTAGGATTGATTGATTAATAAGAGCTGTGATTGAAGAGCTTATTTCAATCATCAATTATTAAGAAAAGGATGGTTATTAGAACCTATTAATAATCAGAATCAATTTGTTCTTTTGAGAAGATTATCAGCCCATCGATGATCAATTGAATCGAACCATAACCAATATATATCTTATGACTGGAAATTCATTCTCTCTGATTTTATTTCCTTATTTCTCTGTTTGATTTCCATTATAGCAACCTTGTTTTAATTTATCCATCCAAGAACCCCATTCAATTTTTATTTTCCTTTTAGAAAAGATCATCGACCAATCCTTGTGGAGTACAACTCTACTTCCCTTGACTACAAAAATCCATCCGTGAGAGTAGATAATTTATTTTGTTGGATTCGACACTCATCACTTGTAATAATGATAAGGTTAACTGGGTTAATTAAAGAATTAATTAATTAATTACAATTGCTAAATTAATGTCGTGATATAGAAGCTTTGTTTGAAGTTATGAAAAATATTCTATACAAATTATTGTAACCATAATACTATAGAAAGGGAGATTTGTCATTTCTTAAGATTATCACTTACGAGATGTTTGCTTAGGAACCGAAAAACTGATCATAGAAATCTATTATTTACCAGAAAAAAAAATGTTTGGTGATAGTCAAATTAAAATTTTTTAATTAAAGATTAAGGGCCTATTTTAGTTTAACTGTAGATTCATTATTGATGTTTTAGGATCATTTAGTAGGATCATTTAGGCAAGTTTTAACCATGTGCAAAGAGAAGGAAACTTTGCAGCAAATAGTTTAGGATCATGTAAATTGTGATATGAGGTCTCTCATGTAGAGCCTTTGTTTATTATTATTTTCAATAATTAGGTGCATGGATAATACAGTCCTTATGAAGTTATGAGTTTTATTTATTTGTGTCATTTTCAAATATGAAAATAATTATTTAAACAAAAATGGTGTGGAATTGATTGTTCATAGTGCATAGCTAGAAATGGAATTCAGACAGGATATACTTTTGAGGAGAAAAAAGAGACAGACACTGGTTTTGAGCATAGAGCAGAATACATGGGCTGAGGTTTTGCCTTGTACATCTACTAGGCAGTGACAGGTATGACCATGCATAGCTTCAACCATAGCTCTGTTTACTTTCTTCCTTCTTTCTTAATTAGGTTTTGGTTTGATTTGTTTCTTTGCCTCCAACTTATTGGAAGCTTGTTAGCTAGTATTAGGTCTAATTAGATTATTCAAGACATGATCATGAGATCCTTCACTTTTCTCTAATCAGATTTGTCCCTTTATTGTTGTATATTTTAATTTCTTGGTATTCTAATATATATATATATGGGACTTAGATTTTCACTTAAACATTTCTTCAATTTGTTTTTCCTATTCTATGCAACAATATGGCTGTTATTAACCAATAGAAGACATCCTATTCTTCGTAATTGCACTCCAATTTGAGCTAGCCTAGCTGCTAATGAACGAGTTTGGTCTTGGCATGAAAGCTCTTAAATTTCCAGGGCATACCCAGTTGGGAAAATTAACATTAATGGCAATTCCACGAGCAGATTTGTTGTCTGTATGTCCAACTCATATGCTCAAGTCGTTGGACATGGACCTTCTTTCTGAAGTTTTGTCATCATATCCACACTTGAAAAAGGAGCAGCTTTTTGTATTGTAGCGTAATCATCATCAAACTTTGGCAACAGTAGCAGAAAAAAGAAACTCCATGTGATTGCGAGATTTTGACCATAGTTTTAAAAGGAAATGACATCTGAGGAAAGGAAACGTTTTTAGCAATGGTGGTTGTTGATATGATATCAAATTTTTCAAGAGAAACACAGACATTACCTTTTTTTCTGGCCAACGGGGATTAGAGTGCTTTTATGGTGGACAACATTGCTACCCATCCACCGACATCTGGCCCCATAAGGAAGGCAATAATTTAGATCAGCAAGAAAACATGTTAAAAGTGAATTGAAAAAGCCAAATGACATGATTAGAAGGATTTTCATGTTAGAAGTTCTTAATCAACATCCATTCCCAAATAAATTGGGGTTCTGCGGCCTTTTCTTCATTACTACATCAAATAGTTTCCAATTCTGCGTCTTCCATGTGGTATAGATAGTAGGAATGTGCCTATTTCCGACGGTTCTACATGAACATATCTTCAACAAAGTTCTGTCACTGTCGCTAATATGTTCGTCTAGGAAAATGGAGAAATTTTAATGAGGTGAAGGGATAGATACAAATGACCCCATCAACTATTATGATGTATGTAGGGCATAGTGGTTCATGAGGTGTAGTGTTTTATATCGTTGATATGCTCAGGGATTTACAGGTAGGAAATTTGTAGAAAATTTCATTGCATCCCCTGAATTTGATAGTCATGGCAGTCAAACACGAGCTAGAGAATAGTTTGTTGGTTGATGATGATGGGCGTACAAGAAGAACTGGCAATGACACTTCCAATTTCCAAGCCTAGTTTGTATATCTTGCTGTGTGCTTTGTTAATCTTAAATTTACCGCTTGCGGGAAACTGAACCAGGAACCTTATGGAGTTGCATCGCTCATATAATTACGGCTGTTATCGGCTCTGGTGTTCTGTCTTTGGCTTGGAGTGTCGCTCAGCTTGGATGGATAGCAGGTCCAGTTGCAATGTTTTGCTTTGCTGTTGTCACCTATGTCTCTGTTGTGCTCCTTTCTGATTGCTACAGATATCCTGACCCTGTCATCGGAACTCGGAACTACTCTTACATGGATGCTGTTAGAGTGAATCTTGGTAGCAAAACACCTTCTCCCTTTTAAACGCTATGCTTATTATATCCCCTAGCTATTCATGTTAGGAAATGTTCAGATGATCTACCTTCTACAAGCATCCTGATTTTGCGTGGTGATTTTACAGGTAAAACCCAGACATGCCTTTGCGGTTTGCTTCAATATCTGTTCATGTGCGGGATTGGTACTGCATTTGTCATTACCGCTTCGACTAGTATGAGGTACTTCCATGGCGAATAACATGATTGAGCACCATTGTTAGCTTGCGATGCAAAGAGCATATATATATAGTGTTTCGTTTATTGGGAAGTTTGATCCATTGTTTTCATATCTAACAACATTGCAGCGCAATTCAAGGATCAAATTGTTACCACGAAAGAGGCCATAATGCACGATGCGAATGTGAGGACACTCTGTATATGTTGATATTCGGAGCTGTTCAGATTGTCAAGTCACAGATACCAGATTTCCATGGCATAGAATGGCTTTCAGTTATTGCTGCAATCATGTCTTTTGCCTACTCTTTTACAGGATTTGGACTTGGCTATGCTACAGTAATAGGTAGGTGCTTGTTCATTCTGTATGATCAGAGGCATATGGCTTTGCAACTGAAATTCAACCTCTGATATGAACACATCTGTGAACTTCTTTTCCTTTAAAACTTTTTTTTTTTTTTTTTTTTTTCTATTTGCAGAAAATGAGATGATCAAGGGTAGCATTGCAGGCGTCCCAGCTTCTACTGGAACTAAAAAACTATGGTTAGCCTTCGAAGCTCTCGGGGACATTGCTTTTGCCTATCCATATGCACTCATTCTTCTTGAAATTCAGGTCTGCCTTCTATTTCCTAAAATTCATTATCCAACAAGCATGTCACTAGGAAAGAAACACTATCTTACGAACCATCAGAGCTGAAATGAAATGGTAAAATTGTTGAATGAAGGATACTTTGAAGTCGCCTCCACCTGAGAACAAGACCATGAAGAAGGCATCGATGATTGCAATCTTCTTGACAACGTTCTTTTACCTCTGCTGTGGATGCTTTGGATATGCAGCTTTTGGCAACAACACACCCGGAAATCTTTTGACAGGATTTGGATTTTATGAGCCTTACTGGCTTATCGACTTTGCTAATGCTTGCGTTGTTCTACATTTGGTGGGAGGCTATCAGGTATTTCCTTTTTATACTCTGCAGAGTCGAAAATTATCCTAAGCTAACTGCTAACATGCTTCCTGTTTCCTTAAAATTCATTGGATTTCCTGTGTCGTAGCCGACGTTCTGTTAATCCTGTCTCGGCACGACCGAACTGACGATATCGTTTTACAGCTCGTAGTGTGGTAAGTTTTTGAGTAATTCTGTTCCATGTTTCTTCTTTTCTGTCAGCTCTACAATCAGCCAGTGTTCGCATTTGTAGAACGTTGGTTCTTGAAGAAGTTCCCGAGCAGCGAATTTGTGAACAATTTCTACGACATCAAACTCCCATTGCTGCCTTCTTTTCACATCAATCTGTTCAGGATATGTTTTCGAACTGCATATGTTGTGTCAACTACCGCGATTGCTGCTGTTTTTCCTTATTTCAACCAAGTCTTGGGACTGCTAGGGGCCTTAAACTTTTGGCTCTTAGCCATATATTTCCCAGTAGAAATGTATTTAGTACAGAACAAAATAGCGGCATGGACAGGAAATTGGATTGTTCTCAGGACATTTAGCTTTGGTTGCTTGCTTGTATCGATTGCATGCTTAATTGGGTCAATTGAAGGAATCGTAAGTGCCAAATTTGGCTGAAAAAAGGGCTTGGAATCACGCTTTTGTAGGCAGAGAAGACAGGATTAGATTTTCCCTCTCCGTTTGTCTCTTCGTTTCTTTTCTTTTCTTTCATTTACTGCAGGTTTGGCCCTTTTGTGGGAGAAGAAAAGAAGTGCATGCAAGGGCTGCTTTGAAGGAGAAGGGAACGACGGAGACATGTATGCAGGACGAATGTTTATGTTCATCCTTGTCCTTTGCTTCTCCTTTAAAGTTCATCTTTTTGTCCTTAATTTTGTTTGAATTACTCCCCTCAACTTGGATAATTTTGGTCCTTCATTTGTCCCTTTTTTCCAATTTCAGTAGAACATTTTTTTATTTTTAGCCAAAAATGCCCTTAATCAAAATTGTTTGTAGATAACTACGAGATTATTCCATCGTGTATCCAAATAATATATTATCAACAAGTACTAACCTGATAAGGGCTCAGGTTCCATGAGAAGATATAATAATGTCTAAATTCCTTACAACCATGATTATCTCTAATGACAGAAAGTTGGAAACTACTTTTTACTTCTATTTTATTGTATCCTTTTCTAGAAAGAAAGGAAAAAAGCAAAAAGAAAAAGGCCAAAATGGTATTAATTTACAATATTTGCAGCATCTCTTCTTGTAATTAAGGGTCAAATTGAATAGAGGGGGAACCACATCATGTAATGGCTTCTAGCCACCCAATTTGTGGAGCTCGATCACAGATTGTGCACCCAAGGCTTTTTGAGGAAGTGCATCTACAAATTCTAAATAATAATCACAGGTGGCCCAGAAAGAAAACCGAGTCCACTAGGCATGAATCTCACATTACATTTTACACGCATATCTTAGAGATTTTGTTATTTAGTTCTCTCGTTTGAAGTTTAATCATGTTGTTTTCATTGCAAATTAGAGTAAAGAGTTTGAGTTTTACGTTGAATTGTTTTTTATTCCAAGTTATCATTTCTATAATCCTGCAATCCGACAACCAGTTTTGAAAATCATAGTTGCCCACTAGGATGTTTCCAAGTATATTGCAGCATGTTAAATTCAATTCAATTCAGTATCTAGGCTTTAAAAATGGGTTATGACAACCAATAAACTTATTTAGCATTAAAAACAGTAGATAAGAGTCAGCATACAAATGCCAGTTTCCTTGTTTTGTTTTGCTTTGAACTTGTCTCAGAAATCACCGTATAATTTTGGACTAGGATATGCTTTATGTGCTTCCTAATTTGATGCAGTGATAGTTCAGGTTGAAAAAAACAAGATTTGATGGTTTTCTCCAATATCTGAGTATATATGAAACTGGTGTTACTTGTATTATTGCTACTTCAACCAGGCATCAAGTACTTCCTCACCTAATTCATTGATTTACACCTTTTTGCATCCCTTGTGTTTGAGATTGTTTTGGATTAATGCCCTTGCAAGATTAAGTCTTGATATGCTAATTATGTCTCTACATCACCTGCATTTTGTTCACTGCTTTTCCTGCCTTTTTTCTGTTGGGAAAAAACTCCGACAAAACTCTTGTAGGAATTGGCACTTGGAAACGGAAGGATGCTCATAGCACTTTTCTAGTTTCTTATGGATGCACATGCCAAATGGGTCAATAAGGACCCATCATATGAATATGGGTTAACCCAACTCTAATGAAACTTTGGACTTTGTATCAAAGCTTAGAACCAACCTTAAACATAGGACATCGGGCCCAGCATGAGCAGTACTTGTCTGCTTGTTGCCAATTTTTTCATGTGGTAGTTTTCTCATGCTTAAACGCTAAAATAAAATGTTGGAACACAATTAATTGACATGACTTGCTGTTCCTGCTTCTTTTCTAACCAAGTTTATTTTTTTAAATCCTTCCTTGCCTATCATTTATAGCATATTTATGGAAATCACATAAACCCTCAAACTATTACGTTTATCTTAATTGAATCCCTTACAAATCAATTGTCATAGCTAATTGAATCTCCCATCTATTAACAGTTGGTTCAGTTAACTCCCGACTATCATCTATACGTGGGAAGGCAAGACAAAACAGGTATTAGACCTGGTAGACCCACTTTTCTTTCTTTTTTTCTTTCTGTCCAATTCATGATTTGCATGACTTCAATCCGCATGGGTGACGCGCACCAAAGGGAGGTTGAACTTCTAGATGAGTTTTAAAGGTTAAAAAGTAAAAAAATTCCATATGTTAGTATGTGAATTGCATATATCATTTTTTTAAAAAGAATTATACTATATACTAAAAGAAAATAATGGTTGAATTTCACTATAATTAAGTCTCTGCTACAATAATACTAATACTACGTCTTTTTGGATCTTTTATACTCTAAAATACTTCATCGTTTTCTCAAAAAAATGATTTTTTGTCAATTTATCTTTTTTACATTTTAATCCTTTAAGTTATTAATTTATATAATAAAAGTCTCTAATTTTAATTAGCACTACAAAAAGATCCTTATAATTTTTTTTACTGACCGGGGATTCTACCCCAACCGCATGAGCTTGTTTTTCTCTAGGCCCATATGAATAGGCTTGGTGTCAACCCACCCCGGCCTTTTTCCTTTTTTCTTTTTCATGCTTTTATCTTTTCATTATTTATTATTTACTCAAAATATTTTTTTCCATAATTAATAGTATTTTTTTTATTTTTATAAAGATTCATTAACTAACTATCACTGAATCAAATTAGGAAGCACATAAATCATATCCTAGCCGAAAATTATACAGTGGTTTCTGAGACAAGTTCAAAGGGAATAGAGTCAGGGGATCTATAGCAATGGAAAAGGAGGAATGCAGAAGAAACGGTGGTGATAATCGCAAAGCAGAACAAGGACATTGGCCCTATCCATCCTAGCTGTGTAGCCAAATACAGAACTCAAGAGCCGATAACAGCAGTAATAATACGAGCAATGCAAATCCATGAAGTCACTGGTTGAGTTTTTCAGAGACACCAAATTCAAGATTAAATTGCAAAAATTACGTAAAGTTTGAATACATAATATGGTACAGTTATGTACCATAACTTGGAAATAAAGGATCCTCTTCCTGAGGAACTACTGCCTCAGATGAAGGTCGGTCTTATAAACTAAATCCTCATAGGGGAATTATTGTTTCGGTTTAAGATTGAACTGAACCATGTAAAAATAAATTCAAAGTCTAGAAAGATAAAATGTAATCGACCAAGCTTGCAAGAGAGCGGTAAGAAGAGCCCCCTTTCCTTACACAAATGTTTACCTTCTCTTTCAAAGACATAATTCTCTCCCTTATCCTTTGCCCTTCTGCCTCTACCATTAATCTTTTGATTATCCTCTCTATCTTCCCTCTCTCAACAATATCATCCAAGTGTATCCCAATTTTCCAAGCATCACTTGCATATCTAGCTACTACTTTTTGGTCATCAAACGAAGGCTGACAAATCATGGGCACCCCTTCACAAATGCCTTCTAATGTGGAATTCCACCCGTTGTGTGTCCAAAATCCTCCAGTGGCAGGGTGTGCTAGAACCTCTTGTTGAGGAGCCCATTTCACGATATAACCCCTTTCACCAACCATCTCAAGGAATCCTTCCGGCAACAGTTCAAGGCATTCTAAGCCCTGGACTAATCCTGGTCGGACAACCCACAAGAAAGGTTGATTGCTATTGGCTAGCCCCCAAGCTATCTCCTGAAATTCATTCTTATTTATGGTTATGACACTCCCAAAGCTCACATAGAGTACAGAATTAGGAGCTTGGGCATCTAGCCAGGAAATGCAGCTTCGGTCTTGTGTGAATAAACTACTTGAAGAGGCTGGCAAGTGCTTGTGAAATGGACCTATTGTGAAAATGGGAATAGGAAACTCCTGACAAAATCTAGTAAGTGAATCTTTCTGGAGCTCTTCAAAAGTGTTCCAAATGAATCCTGAAGAAGCCTTGCTTTCGGTCAACGTTCGGGCTCTATAATGATCAAAGTCTTCTGGGTCTTGTGTTTTAACTTCCGGAAGATCTTTCACTTTAAGTAGGGGAGCCTCTATAACTGGTTCTTCTAGTGGAAAATCTAAGGGCACAAAAAAAAAGTAAGAAACGAAAAGAGAGAAGACTTGAATAAAGTTATCTTATTCCCTTGTGAATTTGATTTCTTTTTTTCTTTCATCACTAATAGACGCATATATATCCAAATTAAGCCCAATTCTTCAAAAATTTGCTCCCTTATTTTTGTTTAAAAAAGAATTTTCGTGTATTTACAGCAGGATCATAGAGCTTACACTTCAGAAACTCATGCATAAATGGCTGATAGCTGGTTAAGATACCCTGATGCTTTAGGTTACTTATAATAGCATTAGGGAGCAATTATTCTACTAAGAATGATCGAAATCGAAAGTGTTGAAATCTTTCTTAGGCATCCCCGCTCAGGCAATGTTTTCCTTCCTTGCTTGAATTATGATGCAAACATAAAATTATCTATCCGCAAAACAACCACAATTTGGAACATCGATGATGCTCGATTTAAAACTTGAGTAAAGCATAAAAAACACGAAAGTATTTGGACAAGGATATTGTCTGCATGCTTTCCCAAAAACTACAATTTTGTATTTCGATGTGAGCTAGAAAACCAGGGAAAATGTAAATAATAAAACAGAAGTAAAGTTGTAAATAGTAAGCACGCACCTTTGGTTCCATAATAACCCTTCTCGCAGAAGTGGAAGAGCAGCAAGAACATGGAATGTAGAAATGTCAATGGTCGATAGCACAATCCTTGGAAGCTTAATGCTGTCAGCAAGGGCTTGAGTGAAGTACCAGAGAACATCCGTAATTATGCAAGAAATTGGCTCCTCCTTAACATCCAACAACAACTTAGACAAACCATCACTAAAGGGTTTAACACATTTGATATTGAGGACCGGTGAGATGCTGTTGTGTGCACACTACACCAAAAAAGAGTATTCCGGACGATATATATATATTTTTTTATCTTATAGAGGCGGTTATAACCGCCTCTATAAGATCTAGTGGAGGTATATAAACCGCCCGCAATGTCGCCGTCTAGCAGCGGTTTTTCCAATCGCTAGAGAATTTTGAGGCGGTTTCGTAGAGGCGGTTGAACCGTCTCAAAATAATTTTTTTAAGGTGGTTAAAATCGCTCCTATATCAATTTTTTCTGTTTTAATTTTTAGCACATAGGGGCGGTTGGCAACCACCTCTAGATTCTTTGGATTTTTTATATTTTAATAGAAAGAATGATTCTTGTGATTTTTTATATTTTAATATGAAGAAATTATTTAGAAAGGGTACCTCTAGTGTTTTAGTTTTTTTTTTTACCCTTCAAATCTAATAATTCTACTTCTTCTTCTTCTTCTTTTCAAAAAATAAAATAAAATAAAAATAAACATTGTCGCATGCTAAATAATTGTGAAGACTTGAGACTTCTCATTCCTCTTCAAAATAATTATGAATACAATATGAGTTTGAATTAAAGATTGCATAAAAGAAAATACATGATTTCTCATTTTTAACCAAGCACACCATATCTATTCTAGAATAGATAAAAACTAAGCTCGTTTATCCTCTAAATGACGATTCTCATAATCTCTCATGAGGCTCTTCAAGTAAATTCATGAAAGAAGCAATCTTCAACTTCCAAGTTGCATGCTCATAATCAAGACCTCTTTGACTTCTCCTATAGCTCCTATGTAAATCCCGAAACAACATATAACAATTGACATTTAATATATATATATATATAAATTATCAAGGCTAGTCTTTTATTCCGAGTTATCATATAGCCGATTCCTTAGTTGAGGATCAAATTACGTACCTCAAGAATAAAACTAGTCAATATTTTCCAAAGATCGACAAATGATGGACATAGAATTTCTCTTGCGCTATAAGAACTCGTAATTGATTGGCAAAAGAAATTATAAAAAAACAAAATAAATCAAGCCCATTCTAATGACTAAAGTCGAAGGACTAATGGTCAAAATTATCAATGGCTAGCCCACAAAATCAAGCAAATTATTATTTAGGCTCCCCGTTTTCAAGATACGTAACCTTAATAATTCCTTTCGTGACCACGATAAGGCGATCGGTAGCTAAGACAGTTCACGAGTGTAATCAACTATGCCAACATTCTTCATTGTTCCTTGAGTGTACGAAGTGCGGATGCTTAAAGCCAATGAAATGCAATAATTCAGTATGGTTAAGTTTTGAGCATAAGAAGAAGTTACCTTCATAGCAACTACAACAAGCTCGATCGTTCCGGGGGCAACTTAAGCAAAATTCCCTTCGTCCTCGCAACCAATTTGTAACCAACATGGGATATCCAAGAGACAATTTAAGGCTCCACATTTGACTAAAGCTTTATAGCAGTCGATATGTGTTCCGTTTGGGGTAGGTGGCAAGGTTTCCAAGAGAAGTAAGCACAAATATCAATGTAGTTGAGAATTAGACAAGTTCGTATCTAGCATATTACAAAATTAACAATTAGACACTTAGGTGAATCATGCCTCTCTTATGATTGAATCTTTCTATCTCAAAATAATAACAATCAAAACAATAAGGTAAAGAATAAACAAAAGAAAGGGAAGGGAAGAAGGAAAGAGACAGAGAAACAAACTTACGGATCAAGATTTGCATCAATCTTGCTGAAAAAAATCACCCCCAATAGGATAAAAAGAGCTCATTAGTCTATTAACAACAATATATGTGTCCATATTAAAATATTGCATGTATGATGAAACACCAAAAATGAAACCATGTGATGAGTTTCAACCATGTGAACATCTTCTTTAAATGTTACAAAATGCCACCGAGAAAATAATACTTCGTTTTCCTTTCCCACATGGTCTCCTACCACCCTCCTCCCCCAGGAGTTGTCAAGAAAAATTGGTAGAAGAAAACTTATAGAACCAATCTAATATGACTAATGCAAAAACCATATTTGAGTTGGTCAAATGAATCATACAATCTACTATGAATGCAGCCTAAGCCAACATATAAAATTGAAGAAATTGTCGAGCATTTGCAACTCCACCATCGTACAATAACTTCGGTGATAGTCCATAGGCCACACCACTCGGTCCTCCTCCAGAAAACATCTCCAACAATTCATACGTACGTAATCCCATTTCAAATATTCTCCCAATCGACAAGTATCACACATTACCTTACAATCTAGTTTCCAACTCATTTTTCTTGAGCACTTATCCATATCCATAACAAAATAGTAAATACGAGAAAGAATAATTAAAAAAAAAGCAATTAAAAAACATATTATCATATCTACGTTATTTCTTTCATCGAATTTGCTATGATGTATCAATGAATTCTTGAATTTGAATTTAATAAATTCAACTCCCATGTGTTCTTTTGATTTAATTTCTGCTCCAAAACACCAACAATGAAAAATAATGATTATATTGAGAAATATTTGTTAGAGAAAGAGAAAAGGCCGATATTAAGAACCTTGATAGCAATTCTCACGAGTCCCTTTAACTCTCATTCTCTTTCCCGCACCACAAACCAAGTCGAGCAAATTTCCTCAAGGTTTTTGACATTTTTAGGGGAAAGGGTGATCTTGATCTTGTGAATCAGCTATCGGGTCTCCTTTAAACTCGACTTTTGCGCCTTCATAGCTCCATAAACTAATGCTCGCTACCATTTTCTCCTTTTGCCGAGAGAATTGGAGAAACAGTGATGGCTTTCTAGTTAGACGAGAGAATGATAGATGAAAAAGAGAGGATCCGTCGCTTGTTAAGGCAAGGATTTGGATCTTGAACAAGTGTGAATGAGAGGGATCTGCTACTTGTTGAGTTAAGGATCTAGATCTTGAAGAGAGGGGCGGGATACCGAAGGGTTTCTTTCTAAAGGAACTTAAAATAGAAAATAAAAAAGGTAGGTTATAAGCTACTAGATTTAGGAACCGTGGGCGGTTTTATCAACCGCCTCACATGTTTTCTATTTATGAACCATGTAAAATAAAAATTATTAAAGTTTGAGGCGGTTTTGTTGACCGCCCCAAATAGTCCACCCCTACAAGCCTTTTTTGATGTAGTGGCACCCAAATTAAACTCCTAAACTCCTACAACACAAATGTAGTAAGGGAGAGTCGGGATCGATCCCACGAGGAATTCTATCATATTAGTCGTCACAAATCTAGAAGAAACATGAAATAAATAAAAAAGGGAGTTTTTTGATTTGGTCGAGATATAACCGAAACTAAACAAATTAAATTCAGAAAATGAGTTTAAAATAAGTATTCAAGTAAACAAACCTTGGTTCGAGTCACATCCACTTTTGGAACTTGAGATTTATCTTTGGTGTAAGAAATATCGATTCCCATTCAAATATTTATTGTGATATTGAAATCAATCTTTCCTTACGATTAGCCAACTAGAAACATGTATTCTAATCAACCCTCATTATTTAACAACCCTAGATACGATCTAAGATTTAATCAAACAATGACTTTATGTATTAGAAAGATCAACAAAGCAAGATAGCACAACATATGTAGTTACATTTAATCTAGTCAAACAATCCTCCTAAAAGTCATTAGTTTTTGAGGCGACAAACCATACACTCCTAGTTGCTACACAAATAAAAGGGATTGAACAATTACGGATTCAATATTCGATCTAGCTATAGATTATCTAAGTTAATAAGCTAATTGTTCACATTAGAAATTAACCTAAATAATCATGAAAATAAGCATAGAAGAAAGTTCAATACTTGAAATAAACAAACCGATTTGCATTAATGTTGAAGCACCTCAAAATCTTTAATTTTCAAAAGCTTTAGTTATCTTTACCAAGGAAAAGGGTTTAGCTACTCATGGCAATCGCCATAACATGAGAGAGAGAGAAAATAAAGCTGCCTATACTATGAAGAATAATATCAAAAGTGTACGCACTAGTCCGCTAGGTACCTATTTATACGGGTTTTCTATTTTTCAAAAAGGGTACAAAATATTGGCTCCTCTTTTGGTAGATTGATGTCTTTTTACGGCAAATCACAACAAATTTTGTTTCCTAGTTGAAGTCCGTTGTCCGTTTCGCGGATTTCGGCATGCCCACGTTAAGTTGCAATGTGCCCACGCCTTCATGTCCTTGTGCGTCCGTATGCCGCTACATCCGCGTGCCCACGTTATTATTCTTACGTGCCCACGCCTCTTGTGCTTTCCAGTGGCTGAATTGGTTCGATCATAAATTCTCTTTATATGATTCTTTTAACACCAATTATCAATCAGTTCCACATCCTAGCACATAGAATATAAAAACAGTTGAGGTTTATCATTTGGACATCTCAAAATAGTAAAATGTAGGAGAATTTAGCAATTTAAACATATGTATTTTGAGCATTATCAAGTACTGTCACCAAATGCACGATCTCTGCACTAGAAGGTTCATGTTCCAAAAGGCCATCGGGAATCAAATAGAAGGTGAAGTGAGGGTAGTTCAAAGGATTTTGAGAGTTGAAGGGAAGGTGGATTATGATGATGGAGAAGCCTTTGGATTACAGGATGTTTGTAAGTTGAAGCATGGGGTTTATATGACCTTGTAATGGAAAAGGAAAGAGAAGTAGCGAGCGGCCCAACCTTTGTTGCATAAGAGACTCTCGTAGGCTCTCCATGGAGCTCCTTCAATACTGCTTCAATTGGATACCTCTGAATTCTGATGATGAACTCCTTGCTTTATCTATGTTAGGAAAAAGAAGGTGTCATTACCTCACATAGCATGTTGCTGCCTCATTAGATGACAAAGAAAAAACTCATGGAAGCAGAAACCGCAAGGTTTAGTGGTCAATATTTGATATAGTATAAAAAGATTGTACATATGTTTAAGAAAAGATTTTATCGTTTTAGCTTTAATTTATAGGAGAATTTCCATTAATCCAACCTGAGACAATAAACAAAAGACTTTCCAAAAGGAAAAGAAATTTTCTTCCTTACATATAATGTCATTTGTCTTTTTCAGTCTCCATTTAGGAGTTTAAGTTGCCTTTTTTGTCTCTTTTTAATCAATTAGATTGCCTAAATATGCTGGCTGTTTTTGACCTTTGGTTCCTTATCTTTAAAATTCAGCAATAGCCATTATCTTCGGTTCTACTTTGTCAGGGGATGAGTCCCACTTCACGACTGCTACCCAAAAAAAAAAAAAAAAAAAAACCGCCAACATGTTAGTTGACCAGCTAGGCATGTTCGTTGGGCCCATAATCCACGGGTAGGTTCTTGCCACTTTCTTAACCAAAACTAACAAGTGTTTTCGAGTTGTCCTTTAATGACTCCACTTTCTATGTATTTGACTGGATTGGCACGTGAAATTTAATGGAAATTTGGGTTAAGTAAATTGCTTGGGAATTAACACAAGATGAAGCCAAAGCCTAAGCTAGCCCAAATTCATCAATCATCTTCGTTCAGTCCAAATAAAAATAAGATTTGGTAGCTATCAATGGACAAGCTTATCCAGGGGCTGATTCACTATTTAAATTAAATACTACTAAACATCATCACGGAGTAGAATATTCAAGTCTTGGCAAGAAATTGACAAGGAAAAATGTTGTGTTAAATCTTGAATTGAAGAACACAAAAAGAGGTTGGTAGTGCCCTTTAAGTCATATTATTTAAGATTCATCATAAGATTACGAAAATATAAAATGCAGTACTACTGCCACATCCAACTTCACACCTTATCCTGTAAGAAAAATAACTTGAAAATAAAGAGTCCTCTTCTCGAGGAACTACTGCCTCAGCTGAAGGTCAGACTAAATCCGCAAAGGGGAATTGTTGTTTTGGGTTATAAGATTGAAATGAAGCAAGTGAACAAAAATTCAAAGCCTAGAAAGATAAAATGTAATCGACCAAGCTCGCAAGAGAGCGGTAAGAAGAGCCCCCTTGTCTCACACAAAGTTTTACCTTCTCTTTCAAAGACATAATTCTCTCCCTTATTCTTTGCCCTTCAGCCTCCACCATTAATCTTTTGATTGTCCTCTCTATCTTCCCTCTCTCAAGCGTATAATCCAAGTGTATCCCAATTTTCCAAACATCACTTACATACCTAGCTATTACTTTCTGGTCGCCAAATGAAGGCTGACAAATCATGGGAACCCCTTCACAAATTCCTTCTAATGTAGAATTCCACCCGTTGTGTGTCCAAAACCCTCCAGTGGCAGGGTGTGCTAGAACCTCTTGTTGAGGAGCCCATTTCACGATATAACCCCTTTCACCTACCATCTCAAGGAATCCTTTCGGCAACAGTTCAAGGCATTCTGAGCCCTGGACTAATCCTGGTCGAACAACCAACAAGAAAGGTTGATTGCTATGGGCTAGCCCCCAAGCTATCTCCTGAAATTCATTCTTAGTTATGGCTGCAATACTCCCGAAGCTCACATAGAGTACAGAATTAGGAGCTTGGGCATCTAGCCAGGAAATGCAGCTTTGGTCTTGTGTTAATAAACTGCTTGAAGAGGCTGGAAAGTACTTGTGAAATGGACCTATTGTGAAAATGGGAATAGGAAACTCCTGACAAAATCTAGTAAGTGAATCTTGCTCGAGCTCTTCAAAAGAGTTCCAAATGAGTCCTGATGAGCCCTTGCTTCCATTTATCATTCGGGCTACATAACTATGAAGTTCTTCTTGGTCTTGTGTTTTAACTACTGGAAATGGAAGATCTTTCACTTTAAGTGGGGGTGTCTCTATAATTGGTTCCTCTAGTTGAGAATCTAAGGGCACCCAAAAAAAAAAAAAATGTTAGATATAAAAAGAGAGAAGACAAGAATAAACTTTTGGTATTTGGTTAGATAAGTATGCAAACATAAAAATCTCTATCAGCAGAACAAACACAGTCCGGAACATCAATAGCCGATGATGCTCGATTTAAAACTTAAGTAAAGCACAAAAAACACGAAAGTATTTGGACAAAGATGTTTGTATTCTTTACCAAAAACTACAATGTTGTGTTTGGATGTGAGATAGAAAATCAGGGAAAATGTATATAACAAAACAAAAGTTTCATGGTATGCTTAATACTGGATATAAACAGCATTTCTATGGGTGTCGATTCAACTAAATATTTTAACATCTTTCTCGACTTATCAGAGAACCAATGGACTTCGTTAACTAGAAATAATATGCACAGACAAACGTTGAAGTTGTAAATAGTAAGTAAGCACGCACCTTTGGTTCCGAAATAACCCTTTTCTCGCAGGAGTGGAAAAGCAGCAGCAACAAGGAAGGAAGAAATGTCACCGGTCCGTATCACAATCCTTGGAAGCTTAACGCTATCAGCAACAGGTTGAGTGAAGTACCAGTGGGCATCTGTAATTATGCAAGAAATTGGATCCTCCTTAACGTCCAACAACAACTTAGACAAACAATCACTAAAGGGTTTAACACATTTGATATTGATGAGTACCAGCAATTGTGTGGCATCTGCAGTACAAGCCTCTTGTTCCAAGAGGCCATCGGGAATCGAATAGAAGGTAAAGTGAGGGTAGTTCAGAGGATTTGGAGGGTTTAAGGGAAGTTGGATTATGATGATGGAGAACCCTTTGGAATACAGGATGTTTGCAAGTTGAAGCATGGGGTTTATATGACCTTGATATGGTACAGGAAAGAGAATTAGGGAGCGGCCTACCCTATGTTTCATATGAGACTCTCTTAGGCTCTCCATGGAGCTCCTTCAGTACTGCTTCAATTAGATACCTCTGATGATCAATTCCTTGCTTTATTTATATAAGGAAAAAAGAAGGTTAAACAGACAGCACAAATTTGAAAGCTTCAGCAGGTACAAGAATGTACACAAACTATTTTTGAGGCTTTGGTGCAGGTAAAGACTGTACGTGGTGTCAATAAGGACCACAACTCAGACTCGTAGAGATGAGGAGTGGAAAATTCAAAGTCTTCGCAAGAAATAAACAAGGAAAAAAGATGTTAAATGACATAATTGTCAAATTAGTCGCCTCAAGTTGGAAGAAGTAATCACCGCCTCATTCGTTTCTAGATAATTTTGAACTTTCTAAAAATGTACTGCTCAAGAAGTTTTGTTTTCCACCTTCTAGTTCAACATTTTGGTATCAAAGCAGGTTGGTAAGAGACGAGGGTACTGCTCAAGAAGTCCGCGTAAGTTCATGTAACAGGTTTCACCAAAATTATTGAGTATAGATGACGTGTATTTTTAGTGTAAAAACATAACTAAAGTTTTTTTTTTTTCTTAGAAATAGAGATAGCAATAGATCAGATACAAAGTAGATATTTGTTATATCTAACGTAATAAATATTTATTGAAAATACCTAATAAACATTAAAGTGAATAAGAGTGAAAAAATCATTAATATAGTTTTCAAGTATGAGTACTCGTTTTATACTCTATTAAAATTCATTAATTTTATTTTTTGAAAAAAAGAATTTAAATGCAAGGATCCCATGACACAAAATTTATGAAGTAGAGACCAAAATGTTTTTTATCGAACTTTGAGGATAAAAAATTATAAATAAAGGAACAACTTGTAAAAAAAAATTCAAAAACCAAAATAAATTTTATTGAAAATTACAAGGATTAAATTGAAATATTTTGATGAATATTTTTTAATGGGTATTATTTGAGTATTAAATGGATAGATAAACCAAACATGTATGAATTTAAATAATAGTTTTTTAATAGGTATAGATAGTGTGTTTTTTAACGAGTAAAATAAAAAAATGAATTAATGAGCATAGTCATCTCTATTTAGTAATTCTACAATAAATCTTATGTTATATATTTGGCATCTTCTTTTAATTAATTAATAGCTCGGAATATTGTGAGATTTGAGCATACTTGGAATTAGATTGAAAGTTTTACAACTTGTATTGTTTTTATTTCTTAATGTTGTTTTCTAATGTGGATTTTATTTTTTGGATGACAGAATAGGATTATAACTCAAGACTACTCTTATCTAAGAATAATTTTGGATTGAGCACCGTCCATGACCCCAAAAATACAGTTCTAGCCTTAAATTAACCGCTCAAAAGAACAAACACTGCAATAAAGGACCACAACTCAGACTCGTAGAGATAAGGAGTGGAAAATTCAAAGTCTTGGCAAGAAATAAACAAGGAAAACAGATGTTAAATCTTATAGCTAAGAACACAAAAAGAGGTAGGTTGTGCCTTTAAGTTGTGTTAGAGATAGAATAGGAGAAGATCCAAAAAACACAGATATAGGAGTCAAAGCATGCAGCAGTTTACAACAACGTGAAGCTATATTGTTGATCAACTTTGTATATTTTATTAAATCAAATTATATCATTTAAACCAAATCAAAATAATTCCTCTAGTTTCTCTTAAAGCTAATTTCAAATCATTATCCAACTCCATTTTTGATAAACTGTTAAGAAAATAATAAGAACAGTGGTCAGATGTACAATTAGACATCTTTAGCAATTAAAATCCGAACGGAAGGTGCTGGTCATTCTTTAGAAACATGTGGCAGAGCTGCATGCCATGCAATTGAGCAACTCTGTTCATCAGCTCATCCTTTTGGACGACTTTATTTATCAACTCTTAATTGTGGTTACAATTCAATGTGGTGTCATGCAGTATTTTTCTATTTTCCCGTATTGTTCTTGTTGTATTTTATTTTTATCAAGTAGGAAAATACTAAAAGAAAATCAACAATGTGACGTTTCAAATTTTACAAGTTTGGTATATATAGGAAGGTTTATAGTCATATGGGCTGTAATGCATGCATAGAAAAGAAATGGGAAGATAAATAGAATGAAAAGAGTAGACATGCATGGAAAGTGTTTGGCATTGAAGATAGCGATTGCTGTAGCGATATAAGATTTTGAAGGGGTGAAAGCTTTTAGAATGGTGAAAAACATATAGAAATATTTGGTAAAACATACATATGTGTGTGTATATATAATCATTTTTAAGCTTCCCGTCACGTGGCTTTGTTAGTCTGTTTTTCAGTTCTCCACAACAATGCTTCAGCCCGTTCCAGTCCAAAGCACAGCCCATTCAAACCTTGGGGCCAGTCTGAAACCTTTTTTTCCACTAACCAATTTCGTCTGTCACATGTCCAGCACACTCGGCCCGGATTGCTTCTTCCTTACAATTTGCGTCAGCTGACCATGCTACACCCACAGCAATTAGTCCTTCAGCCGACAATCGAACGGCCCAAAGAAGCCCATCTTTACAACCTCACACTCGAACAGTCATAAGCCCGTCTTCAAGCCCTTCTTCAACTCAGCCCGCAGCCTTCCGTCAAAATTCTTCTGCCCACAATCAAACGGCCCAAAGAGGCCCATCTTCACAACCGCACACTCTAACAGCCGCAAGCCCGTATTGAAGCCCATCCTCGACTCAGCCCGCCTCCTTTTGTCCAAACACCACGAGTACTCTCATATATACTCAGATATGGGAGAGAACCATCAAATCATGTTTGTGTGCGACCTGAACGATCACTGCATCCGTACTAGTTTTGCTGTACTCCAAGCCAAGGACAGAACTCCAGAGCCGATAACAGTAGTAAAAATATGAGCAATGCAAATCCATAAGGTCACTGGTTGAGTTTCCGAAAAACACCAAATTCAAGATTAAATTGGCAAATTGTATAAAGTTTGAATACATAAACTGGTACCATTATGTATCATAACTTGGAAACAAATGATCCTCTTCATGAGGAACTACTGCCTTAGATGAAGGTCAGTCTTATAAACTAAATCAGCACAGGCAACTGTTGTTTGGGGTTAAGGTTGAATTGAACCATGTAAACAAAAATTCAACATCTAGAAAGATAAAATGTAATCGACCAAGCTTGCAAGAGAGCTGCAAGAAGAGCCCCCTTTCCCTAGACAAAGTTTTACCTTCTCTTTCAAAGACATAATTCTCTCCCTCATTCCTTGCCCTTCTGCCTCCACCATTAACCTTTTGATTGTCCTCTCTATCTTGTCTCTCTCAACCATATAATCCAAGTGCATCCCAATTTTCCAAACATCACATGCATATCTAGCTACTACTTTTTGGTCACCATACGAAGGCTGACAAATCATGGGCACCCCTTCACAAATGCCTTCTAATGTGGAATTCCACCCGTTGTGTGTCCAAAATCCTCCAGTGGCAGGATGTGCTAAAACCTCTTGTTGAGGAGCCCATTTCACGATATAACCCCTTTCACCTACCATCTCAAGGAATCCTTCCGGCAATAGATCAAGGCATTCTAAGCCCTGGACTAATCCTGGTCGGACAACCCACAAGAAAGGTTGATTGCTATTGGCTAGCCCCCAAGCTATCTCCTGAAATTCATTCTTATTTATGGTTATGACACTCCCAAAGCTCACATAGAGTACAGAATTAGGAGCTTGGGCATCTAGCCAGGAAATGCAGCTTCGGTCTTGCGTGAATAAACTGCTTGACGAGGCTGGCAAGTACTTGTGAAATGGACCTATTGTGAAACTGGGAATAGGAAAGTCCTGGCATAATCGAGTAAGTGAATCTTTCTGGAGCTCTTCAAAAGTGTTCCAAATGAATCCTGATGAGGCCTTGCTTTCACTCATCGTTCTGGCTACATAATGATCAAAGTCTTCTGGGTCTTGTGCTTTAACTTCCGGAAGATCTTTCACTTTAAGTGGGGGAGTCTCTATAACTGGTTCTTCTAGTGGAAAATCTAAAGGCACCAAAAAAAAAAAAAAAAAGGGTAAAAAAAGAAAAAAGAAACGTGAAGAGAGAAGACTTGAATAAAGTTATCAACGTAAAGAGAGAAGACTTGAATAAAGTTATCTTATCCCTCTGTGAATTTGATTTCTTTTTTTCTTTCATCACTAGCAGACGTATTTATATCCAAATTAAGCCCAATTCTTCTAAAATTTGCTTCCTTGTTTTTGTTTGAAAAAGAATTTTCGTGTATTTACAGCAGGATCATAGGGCTTACATTTCAGAAATTCATGCATAAATGGCTGATAGCTGGTTGAGATACCCTGATGCTTTAGGTTACTTATAATAGCATTAGGGAGCAGATCAGGTCTTGTTGGAATTTGGTAATAAAACATATTAGAGATGCAAACTCACGAAAAAAAAAAAATTGAACTTCAGCAATTGCTCTACTAAGAACGATCCGAAACCGAAAGTGTTGAAATCTTTCTTAGGCATCCCCTCCTTCCTCGCTTGAATTGTGATGCAAACATAAAATTATCTATCCGCAAACCAAGCACGATGTGGAACATCACCATAGCCGATGATGCTCGATTTAAAGCTTGAGTAAAGCACAAAAAAAAGAACTATTTGGACAAGGATGTTAGTATTCTTTCCCCAAAACTACAATTTTGTGTTTCGATGTGAGCTAGAAAACCAGGGAAAACGTATATAACAAAACAGAAGTAAAGTTGTAAATAGTAAGCACGCACCTTTGGTTCCGAAATAACCCTTTTCTCGCAGAATTGGAAGAGCAGCAAGAACAAGGAATGTAGAAATGTCAATGGTCGGTAGCACAATCCTTGGAAGCTTAATGCTGTCAGCAAGAGCTTGAGTGAAGTACCAGAGGACATCCGTAATTAAGCAAGAAATTGGCTCCTCCTTAACATCCAACAACATCTGAGACAAACCATCGCTAAAGGGTTTAACACATTTGATATTGAGGACCGTCACCAAATGCACGATCTCTGCACTAGAAGGCTCGTGTTCCAAGAGGCCATTGGGAATCGAATAGAAGGTGAAGTGAGGGTAGTTCAGAGGATTTGGAGAGTTGAAGGGAAGGTGGATTATGATGATGGAGAAGCCTTTGGAATACAGGATGTTTGCAAGTTGAAGCATGGGGTTTATATGACCTTGTAATGGAAAAGGAAAGAGAAGTAGCGAGCGGCCCAACCTTTGTTGCATGTGAGACTCTCTTAGGTTCTCCATGGAGCTCCTTCAGTGCTACTTCAATTGGATACCTCTGAATTCTGATGATGAACTCGTTGCTTTATTTATATTAGGAAAAAAGAAGGTGTCATCAGCTCACATAGCCAGGGGTTTTTTTACTCTCATTAATTATAATCATTCAGCTGCAAATTAGGACAATTACCGCATCGTGACGTTATTTCCTTCGAATAAATAATCTTAATAATCAACAAGAATCTTATATTAGGAAAAAAGAAGGTGTCCTTATCACTAGTTTGTAATATTTAAATTTAATTTAATTTATTTATTTTTATTTTTATTTTTGATGATGATGAATGAGCACCAGTCAGCAGGAATACTGATTTGTCACCTCATGACTTTTCCTTCTTATGGAAGCGGCAACCACAAGGTTTAGTGGTCATAGATTTGATATAGTGTAAAAAGATAGTAAATATGTTTAAGAAAAGATTTTATCGTTTTAGCTTTAATTTATAGGAGAATTTTATTAATCCAACCTGAGACAATAGACAAAAGACTTTCCAAAAGGAAAAGAAATTTTCTTCCTTGTATATATATAACTATGCTGGCTTTTTTGTCTCCATTATGTTTTAGCCTCTTCTTTATTTTTACTTGTTTCAACAATCCAAGGGTAGGTTCTTGCCACTTGCTTAACCAAAATCAACAAGTGCTTTCCAGTTGTCTTTTAATGACTCTCCTTTGTATGCATTTGACTAGATTGGGACGTCAAATTTCATGGAAATTTGGGTTAAGAAAATTGCTTGGGAATTAACAAAAGATGAAGCAAAAGCCAAAGCAAACACAAATTCATCAATCATCTTCAATCAGTCCAAATAAAAAAATCAGATTTGGTAGCTGATTCATTATTTGAATTAAACACTACTAAACATCATCACGGAGTGGAACATTCAAAGTCTTTGGCAAGAAATTAACAAGGAAAAATGATGTGTTAAATCTTGAATTGAACAACACAAAAAGAGGTAGGTAGCGCCCGCGAACGTATAAAATGCAGTGCCACTTTTTGTTTATTTAATTTGGTAGTGAGGGTTGGAAAGACTTGCTTCTCAAGTTTGTAAAGAAAGATGCCTTTTGGCCGTGATATTAAAAAGATGGAAGAGGAAGAAGAAGAAGATGGGGGGACTTGGTCCCCAAGCCAACTTGCAGGACCGGTGCATGGCATCAAGACACTGGTGGTTTTCGCTTGTTTGACTTCATCAAAGCTGAAGTCATCAAACTGTTTCCTCAAACAGTTAAACTAGGTTATTTGATTCTTTATATTTTCTATATTTACACTGTATAATAAATATAAAATGAATTTCAGGTCAACTTGATGTACTTTCATGAATTTAAGCAAAAGTTGCTTAAATTTTGAATACACAAACTAATACTATTATGTACAGAACTTGAAAATAAAGAGTCCTCTTCCTGAGGAACGACTGCATCAGTTGAAGGTCAGACCTATAGACTAAATCCGCAAAAGGAAACTGTTGTTTTGGGTTAAGATTGAAATGAATCAAGAGAATAAAAATTCAAAGTCTAGAAAGATAAAATGTAATCGATCAAGCTCGCAAGAGAGCGGCAAGAAGAGCCCCTTCTCTCACACTAAGTTTTACCTCCTCTTTCAAAGACATAATTCTCTCCCTTATTCTTTGCCCTTCTGCCTCCGCCATTAATCTTTTGATTGTCTTCTCAATCTTCCCTCTCTCAACCATATAATCCAAGTGTATCCCAATTTTCCAAACATCATTTACATACCTAGCTATTACTTTTTGGTCGCCAAATGAAGGCTGACAAATCATGGGCACCCCTTCACAAATTCCTTCTAATGTGGAATTCCATCCGTTGTGTCCAAAACCCTCCAGTGGCAGGGTGTGCTAGAACCTGTTGTTGAGGAGCCCATTTCACGATATAACCCCTTTCACCTACCATCTCAAGGAATCCTTTCGGCAAAGGTTCAAGGCATTCTGAGCCCTGGACTAATCCTGGTCTAACAACCAACAAGAAAGGTTGATTGCTATTGGCTAGCCCCCAAGCTATCTCTTGAAATTCATTCTTAGTTATGGTTGCAAAACTCCCGAAGCTCACATAGAGTACAGAATTAGGAGCTTGGGCATCTAGCCAGGAAATGCAGCTTTGGTCTTGTGTTAATAAACTGCTTGAAGAGGCTGGCAAGTACTTGTGAAATGGACCTATTGTGAAAATGGGAATAGGAAACTCGTGACATAATCTAGTAAGTGAATCTTGCTCGAGCTCTTCAAAAGAGTTCCAAATGAGTCCTGATGAGGCCTTGCTTATATTAATCAATCGGGCTACATAACTATGGAGTTCTTCTGGGTAATGTGTTTTAAAATCTGGAAGATCTTTCACTTTAAGTGGGGGTGTCTCTATAATTGGTTCTTCTAGTTGAGAATCTAAGGGCACAAAAAAAAAAAAAGAAAAAAAAAAGGGTAAGATATAAAAAGAGAGAAGACAAGAATAAACTTTGGTATTTGGTTAGATAAGTGATGCAAACATAGAAATCTCTATCAGCAGAGCAAACAGAGTCTGGAACATCACCATAGCCGATGATGCTCGATTTAAAACTTAAGTAAAGCACAAACACGAAAGTATATGGACATAAATTACATTTCAAAGTTTTAAAATAATTAGAAGGATGTTTGAATTCTTTACCAAAAACTAAAATTTTGTGTTTGGATGTGAGGTAGAAAATCAGGGAAAATGTATATAACAGAACAAAAGTTTCATGGGATGATTAACACTGGACATAAATTACATTTCTATGGGTGTCGATTCAACTAAATATTTTAACATCTTTCCCGATTTATCATAGTACCATTGGACTTCGTTAACTAGAAATAATATGCACAGACAAACGATGAAGTTGTAAATAGTAAGCAAGTACCTTTGGCTCCGAAATAACCCTTTTCTCGCAGAACTGGAAAAGTAGCAAAAACAAGGAAGGAAGAAATGTCACTGGTCCGTAGCACAATCCTTGGAAGCTTAATGCTATCAGCAACAGGTTGCGTGAAGTACCAGTGGGCATCCGTAATTATGCAAGAAATTGGATCCTCCTTAACGTCCAATAACAACTTGGACAAACCATCACTAAAGGGTTTAACACATTTGTTATTAAGGAGTGTCAGAAAATACACGATATTTGCTGTAGAAGCCTCATGTTCCCAGAGGTCCAGGGGAATGGAATAGAAGGTGAAGTGAGGGTAGTTCAGTGGATTTAGAGAGTTGAAGGGAAGGTGGATTATGATGATGGAGAATCCTTTGGAATACAGGATGTTTGCAAGTTGAAGCATGGGGTTTATATGGCCTTGATATGGTAAAGGAAAGAGAATTAGCGAGCGGCCCAACCTTTGTTGCACATGAGACTCTCTTAGGCTCTCCATGGAGCTCCTTCAGTACTGCTTCAATTGGATATCTCTGATGATCAATTCCTTGCTTTATTTATACAAGGAAAACGAAGGTTTATTTAGCTCAGATAGCCAGAGGGATTTTTTTCTCTCTCATTAACTATAACCATTCAGCCGCGAATTAGGAGACATGCTTTGGTGATTGTTTGTGCTCTGAAATTGTTTGGTATAGATATAGATGCTCTACAGAAAATATTATAACCCAGCTCTAACTGAGCAGAAACAGACAGCATAAATTAGAAAGCTACTGCAGGAACCAAGAATGTAAATAAACTATTTTTTAGGCTTTCGTGCAAGTGAAGACCATGGTGTAGATGAACTATATTAAGCCTTGAAAGCTACTGCCATAAATTGCACAAAGCAACCTTATCTTCAACATTGTCATGCAGCTTTGTCCTCACATGACAAAATGGTCATATTAGTCCCCTCAAGTTTGAAAATATCATCACCGGCTCGTTTGTTTCTAGATAATTTTTGAGCTTTCTAAAAATATATGGGAAAAAAATAAATGGATAAGTATGAGGTGATATTTTAGCTAGAATTATATAGAATTGTGACACTCAACTAAGTTAGAATTGTTTAGAAATTGTGGCAACCCACTTAGTGAAGCTATAAATAGGGACATGATTACTGTAGTTTGTGTGTCTAGCAATTGAGAGTCTCTAGAAAATTGAGTTGTGTCCAAGTATCGTGAGTGTTAAGGGAATAAGTGTGTTTGTGAGAGTGAGGCAAGCAAGTGAGTAAAAAAATAAAAATTAAAAATGAAGTATACGTATAAATAAGTAAATAAAATTGTTGTTATCCACCTTCTAATTCAACATTTAGTTCAACATTTTGGTAACGGAGCAGGTTGATCAGGGACGCTGATACTGTTGCGCTCAAGAAGTCTGCGTAAGTTCATGCGATAGGTTTCATTAAAACTGATAATTAAGTACATGATGCGTATTCTTAGTCTAAAAACATAACCGAAACTCTTTTTTCTAAGAAATAGAGATAGTGATAGATTGGTTATGAAGCATATATTTATTCTATTCAATTTAATAAATATTCATTAAAAATATTTAATAGACATTAAAATGAATATATAAGAGTAAAAATTCGTTAATATAGTTTTCAAGCATGAGCACTCGTTTTATACTCTACTAAAACCGATTAATTTTATTTTTTATTTTTTTAAAAAAGAATTTGAGTGTAAGGATCCGATTGCAAAAAATTTATGAAGTAGAGACCAAAATGTTTTCATCAAACTTTGAGGACAAAAAGTTATAAATAAAGGCTCAAATTGTAATAATAATAATAATAATAATTTTAAAAACCAAAATTAATTTCATTGAAAATTACAAGGATTAAATTGAAATATTTTGATAAATATTTTAATGAGTATTAGTTGAGTATGAAATGGATAAATAAACTGAATATGTATCAATTTAGATTGTAATTTTTTAATAGACAATAGATAATATATTTTTTTAATAAGTAGAATAAAAAATTAAATTAACGAGTCAGATCATCTTTATCTAGGAGGAACTCTATAATAAATCTCATGTTATATATTTAGTGTCTTCTTTTAATTAATAGCTTGGAATATTGTGAGATTTGAGTCTATTTGGAATTAGAATGATAGTTTTACAAACTTGCATTGTTTTTGTTTCTTAATGTTGTTTTTTAATGTGGATGTTTATTAATTTTTTGGATGACAGAATAGGATTATAACTCTTATCAAACGCAGAGAGGGACACGCTGCAATAAGGACCACAACTCAGATTCGTAGAGATAAGGAGTGGAATATTCAAAGTCTTCGCAAGAAATAAACATATAGAAATATTTGGTGTATATATATATAATCATTTTTACACATCCCGTCACGTGGCTTTGTTAGTCTGTTTTTTCATTCTCCACGAAAATGCTTCAGCCCGTTCCAGTCCAAAACACAGCCCACTCCACCCTTTGGGCCAGTCTGAAACCCTTTTTTTTTCATTCACCAATTTCGTCTGTCACAGTCCAGCACACTAGGCCCGGATTGCTTCTTCTTTACAATTTGCGTCACGTGACCATGTTACACCCGCAGCAACTAGTCGTTCAGCCCAAAATCGATCGGGCCAAAGAAGCCCATCTTTACAACCTCACGCTCCAACAGCAATAAGCCCGTATTCAAGCCCTTCTTCGACTCAGCCCGCAGCCTTCTGTCACTTCAGCCCACAACAAACAGCCCAAAGAAGCCCATCTTCACAACCTCACGCTCTAACATCCACACGCCCGTATTCAAGCCCTTCCTCAACTCAGCCCGCTTCCTTCTGTCCAAACATTTCACAGCAGACATCTTCCCTAAGTATTCAAATATTTAGGGAAAGCCATCAAATCATGTTTGTGGTTCAGCCTGAAGTATCACTGCATCAAATTAGAAAGCACATGAAGCATATCCTAACCGAAAATTATTCAGTGATTTCTGAGACAAGTTTAAAGGTAACAGGCCAGGAACCTATGGCCACGGAAGGAGGAATGCAGAAAAGTAGGCGACAATGGCAAAGCAAAGAAATTGGCCTGGTTATCCATACAAGCTGTGCTATATCAAAGGACTAACTCACCCAACATACATTTTCAAGTAAAAACCTTTTAGATTGAAAATTTATACAGACCTGCATTACCTTAAGGATGATAAAATTCAAACTCGCGATCAATCACCTTATGGCGGATAACCATATAGAGTTAGTTGAAATTAGATTTGATCCAAAAAACTTAAGTCTTGTAATGTGTGACTCTTCTTAATTTTATATATTATTAATTATTAATTTAACTATTCAATATGGTATATATATTCTAAGACTACTCCTTACTTATAGCTCATTTTTGAAGTCTATTAAGTGGCTTGGACTCAGAATCTTTGTTAAGCCATTGAGCTTCTTTGATATCACTAACTCATCCAAAAGTCTAAACTATCAAGTGAGGTCCCATGATATAATTTATATCGTTCTCTAACATATACTCCAAACTAATGACAGAACTAACAGCAGTAAAAATATGAGCAACGCAAATCCGTAAGGTCACTGGTTGAGTTTCCCAAAAACACCAAATTCAAGATTAAATTACAAAAATTGTATAAAGTTCGAATACATAAACTGGTACTATTATGTACCATAACTTGGAAACAAAGGATCCTCTTCCTGAGGAACTACTGCCTCAGATGAAGGTCGGTCTTATAAACTAAATCAGCATAGGGGAACTGTTGTTTTAGTTTAAAGTTTGAATTGAACCATATGAACTAAAATTCAAAATTTAGAAAGATAAAATGTAATCGACCAAGCTCGCAAGAGAGCGAAAAGAAGAGCCCCCTTTCCCCAGACAAAGTTTTACCTTCTCTTTCAAAGAGATAATTCTCTCCCTCATTCCTTGCCCTTCTGCGTCCACCATTAATCTTTTGACTGTCCTCTCTATCTTCCCTCTCTCAACCATATAATCCAAGTGTATCCCAATTTTCCAAGCATCACTTACATATCTAGCTACTACTTTCTGGTCACCAAACGCAGGCTGACAAATCATGGGCACCCCTTCACAAATGCCTTCTAATGTGGAATTCCACCCGTTGTGTGTCCAAAATCCTCCAGTGGCAGGGTGTGCTAGAACCTCTTGTTGAGGAGCCCATTTCACGATATAACCCCTTTCACCTACCATCTCAAGGAATCCTTTCGGCAACAGTTCAAGGCATTCTGAGCCCTGGACTAATCCTGGTCGGGCAACCCACAAGAAAGGTTGATTGCTATTGGCTAGCCCCCAAGCTATCTCCTGAAATTCATTCTTATTTATGGTTATGACACTCCCAAAGCTCACATAGAGTACAGAATTAGGAGCTTGGGCATCTAGCCAGGAAATGCAGCTTCGGTCTTGTGTGAATAAACTACTTGAAGAAGCTGGCAAGTACTTGTGAAATGGACCTATTGTGAAATTGGGAATAGGAAAGTCCTGGCATAATCGAGTAAGTGAATCTTTCTGGAGCTCTTCAAAAGTGTTCCAAATGAATCCTGATGAGGCCTTGCTTTCGGTCATCGTTCGGGCTATATAATGATCAAAGTCTTCTGGGTCTTGTGTTTTAACTTCCGGAAGATCTTTCACTTTAAGTAGGGGAGTCTCTATAACTGGTTCTTCTAGTGGAAAATCTAAGGGCAAAAAAAAAAAAAAAAAAAAAAGTAAGAAACGAAAAGAGAGAAGACTTGAATAAAGTTATCTTATTCCTTTGTGAATTTGATTTCTTTTTTCTTTCATCACTAACAGACGTATATCTATCCAAATCAAGCCCAATTCTTCAAAAAATTGCTCCCTTGTTTTTGTTTAAAAAAGAATTTTCGTGTATTTACAGCAGGATCATAGGGCTTACACTTCAGAAATTCATGCATAAATGGCTGATAGCTGGTTATGATACCCTGATGCTTTAGGTTACTTATAATAGCATTTTTGAGATGCAAACTCACAAAAAAAAAAATGGAACTTCAGCAATTGCTCTACTAGGAACGATCCGAAACCGAAAGTGTTGAAATCTTTCTTAGGCATCCCCACTCAGGCAATGTTTTCCTTCCTCGCTTGAATTGTGATGCAAACATAAAATTATTTATCCGCAAAACAAACACAATTTGGAACATCACCATGGCCGATGATGCTCGATTTAAAGCTTTAGTAAAGCACAAAAAAAAGCACTATTTGGACAAGCATGTTTGAATTCTTTCCCAAAAACTACAATTTTGTGTTTCGATGTGAGCTAGAAAACCAGGGAAAACGTATAACAAAAAAAGAAGTAAAGTTGTAAATAGTAAGCACGCACCTTTGGTTCCGAAATAACCCTTTTCTCGCAGAAGTGGAAGAGAAGCAAGAACAAGGAAGGTAGAAATGTCAATGGTCGGTAGCACAATCCTTGGAAGCTTAATGCTGTCAGCAAGAGCTTGAGTGAAGTACCAGAGGACATCCGTAATTATGCAAGAAATTGGCTCTTCCTTAACATCCAACAACATCTGCGACAAACCATCGCTAAAGGGTTTAAAACATTTGATATTGAGGACTGTCACCAAATGCACGATCTCTGCACTAGAAGGCTCATGTTCCAAGAGGCCATCGGGAATCGAATAGAAGGTGAAGTGAGGATGGTTCAGAGGATTTGGAGAGTTGAAGGGAAGGTGGATTATGATGATGGAGAACCCTTTGGAGTACAGGATGTTTGCAAGTTGAAGCATGGGGTTTATATGACCTTGCAATGGAAAAGGAAAGAGAAGTATCGAGCGGCCCAACCTTTGCTGCATGTGAGACTCTCTTAGGCTCTCCATGGAGCTCCTTCAGTGCTGCTTCAATTTGATACCTCTGAATTCTGATGATAAACTCCTTGCTTTATTTATATTAGGAAAAAGAAGGTGTCATTAGCTCACATAGCCAGGGGTTTTTTTTACTCTCTCATTAATTATAATCATTCAGCTACAAATTAGAACAATTATCGTATCGTGACGTTATTTCGTTCGAATAAATAATCTTAATAATCAACAAGAATCTGCACAAGTCCTTATCACTAGTTTGTAATATTTAAATTTTAACCTTTTTTTTTTTTTTCGTTGATGAATGAGTACCAGCCCACAAGAATACTGATTTGTCACCTCATGACTTTTCCTTCTTATGGAAGCAGCAACCGCAAGGTTTACCGGTCATAGATTTGATACAGTATAAAAAGATTGTACATATGTTTAAGAAAAGATTTTATCGTTTTAGCTTTAATTTATAGGAGAATTTCCATTAATCCAACCTGAGACAATAAACAAAAGACATTCCAAAGGGAAAAGAAATTTTCTTCCTTATATATAATGTCATTTGTCTTTTTCAGTCTCCATTTAGGAGTTTAAGTTGCCTTTTTTGTCTCTTTTTGACCAAATAGATTGCCTAAATATGCTGGCTTTTCTTGTCTTCAAAATTGATAATTATGAATGATAGTAGGCTCCTTATCTTTCACATTCGGCAAGAGCCATTAATCTTCTGTCCTACTTCGTCAGGGGATCTGTCCCACCTCATGACTCCCCCCCCCCCCCCCCCCCCCCAAACACAAGATAATAGGTTCTTTATCTTTCACATCCAGCGTGTTCGTTTCTTGCATACAGCATACAACGAACCAAACGGGTCAATAATAATAATGCAAGAAAGAGAAAGGAAAGGTAAAGTTTACAACTTTAGACTGTTGTTTCTTGTCGCGATATATATATACATAGAGAGAGAGAGCACAAAAATAGCATGGAGAGAGAGAGAGCACAAAAATAGCAAGGCACTGATTCCAACATTCAGGAACCTTAGGCATGAATATTCATTAATTTTGGAATCCACCAAGTGTAGTGACCTTTTTTCAAATTTTAATCTGATAAATTGCATTGTTTCATCCACACATAATTTCTTTGCTTAATTAGCGACAAACGTACAGATAAAGGGGAAGAAATGGTCGAACCGTTGGTTACGTTCCTCTTCCAATATAATGATGATTTGAGATCAATTCATGAGCTAGAGATGCTGAAGCAGATGAGGAAATTGTAGATAGATGGTTTGAAAAGAGAAAATATAAGGGATCTATGCACTTCATTAGAGAAGATGAGTTACCCGCAAACATTAAATGGTTACATTTGATCCAATTTAAAGTAGAGGATTTAATTTGATCAAATGTGCAAATTACAGAGACCATTCAAGCATTATGTTTAGCCTTCTCTTTATTTTTACTTGTTTCAACAATCTAAGGGTAGGTTCTTGCCACTTTCTTAACCAAAATTAACAAGTGTTTTCCGGTTGTCTTTTAATGACTCTCCTTTCTATGTATTTGACTGGATTGGCATGTGAAATTTCATGGAAATTTGGGCGAAGAAAGTTGCTTCGGAATGAACAAAAGATGGAACACAAGCCAAAGCAAACCCAAATTCATCAATCATCTTCCATCAGTCCAAATAAAAATCTGATTTGGTTGCTATCAATGGACAAGCTTATCCACTGGCTGATTCATTATTTAAATTAAACAGTACTAGACATCATCACGGAGTCGAATATTCAAAGTCTTGGCAAGAAATTAACAAGGAAAACTGATGTGTTAAATCTTGAATTGAACACCACAAAAGGAAGTAGGCAGTGCCCTGTAAGTCATATTATTTAAGATCCAAACGGATAGACATCACAAGGCGGCGAACATAAAAAAGGCAGTGCTACTTTTTGTTTATTTAATTTGGTAGTGAGGGTTGGAAAGACTTGCTTCTCAAGTTTGTGAAGAAAGATGCCGTTTGACCTTGAAATTAAAAAGATGGAAGAGGAAGAACAAGCAGATGGGTGGACTTGGTCCCCAAGCCAAGTTGTAGGACCAGTGCATGGCATCAAGACACTGGTGGTTTTCGCTTGTTTGACTTCACTAAAGCTGAAGTCATAAAACTGTTTCCTCAAACAGTTAAAGTAGGTTATTTGAGTTATTTATGTTTTCTATATTTACACTGTATAATAAATATAAAATAAATTTCAAGTCAACTTATGTATTTTCATGAATTTAATCAAAACTTGCTTAAATTTTGAACACACATAAACTGATACCATTATGTAAGATAACTTGAAAATAAAGTGTCCTCTTCCTGAGGAACTACTGCCTCAGTTGAAGTTTAGACCAAGAGAACAAAAATTCAAAATCTAGAAAGATAAAATGTAATCGACCAAGCTCGCAAGAGAGCGGTAAGAAGAGCCCCCTTCTCTCACACTAAGTTTTACCTTCTCTTTGAATTGAACATTTGGAATAGTGAAAGAATAATAATCAAATATAATAAAACTTTAATGATCAAAATAAAAGAAAGATCATAAAATAGAAACCAAAATATAACAAAAAGTTTTATTAAAAGAAAAAAATAGTTCATCGTAGGAAAAAAAAGCAAATATAATAAAAATTTAATAATCAAAATAAAAAAAATTACAAAACAGAGACTAAAATAAAAATAAAATTCTACTAAATTCAATGGCCAAAACAAAAAAAAAAAATCACAAAATAGGAATTATAATAGAAAGAAAAGTTTCACTAAAAGCAAAAACATGGTATGATAAAACTTTAATGACTAAAATAAAATATATCACAAAATAGGAACCAAAAAATGAAATAAATTTTTACTAAAAGCCAAGAAAAAATATTTATTATGGGGATAAAAATCAAATATTATAAAATTTTAATATTTATTATAGGGACATAAATCAAATATAATAAAAATTTTATATTTATTATAGGGATGAAAATCAAATATAATAAAATGTTAATGATCAAAACAAAAAAATATAAATCAAGGACTAAAATAAAAATAAAAGCCAAAAAAATAGCTTGAAAAACACGGCAAGAGAAACAAAGAAAAGAAAAAAAAAGAAAAAAAAAAAAGAGGGGAGGGGGAACAATAAATGAACAGGGAAAGTGCTACAGCACTTTCCTGTTTTCATTTAGTATATCTTGTAATTATATAGAATTGTGACAATCAACTAAGTTAGAATTGTTTAGAAATTTTGGCAACCCACTTAGTGAAGCTATAAATAGGGACATGATTATTGTAGTTTCTGTGTCTAGCAATTGAGAGAGTCTCTAGGAAATTAAATATGTCCTAGTATTGTGAGGTTAAGGGAATAAGTGTGTATGTGAGAGTGAGGTAAGCAACTGAGTTAAAAAAAAAAAAAAAAAAAAAAAAAAAAAAAAAAAGGTGAGATGCATATGCATAAATAAGTAAATAAAATTTTTGTTATCCACCTTCTAGGTTAACATTTTGGTATCAAAGTGGGTTGATCAGGGACGAAGATATTGCTCAAGAAGTCCGTGTAAGTTCATGTAACAGGTTTTACCAACACTGTTAAAGCACATATGACGTGTATTCTTAGTCTAAAAGCATAACTAAAGCCTTTTTTTTCTTATAAATAGAGATGATAATAGATTAAATATGAAGCAGATATTTTCTCTATCCAACTTAATAAATATTTATTTAAAATATGTAATAAATATTAAAATGAGTAAGAGTAAAAAATTTCCTAATATAGTTTTCAAGTATGAGTACTCTTTTTATACTCTACTAAAACCCATTAATTTTATTTTTTATTTTTTTTGAAAAAATAATTTAAATGCAAGGACCCAATTGCATAAAATTTATGAATTAGAGGCCAAAATTTTTTTATCAAACTTTGAGGACAAAAGAGTTATATATAAAGGATCAAATTGTAAAAACAAAAAAAATAATTTCAAAAACCAAAATAAATTTTATTGAAAATTACAAGGATTAAATTGAAGTATTTTGATAAATATTTTAATAGGTATTATATGATTATTAAATGGATAGATAATCCGGATATATACGAATTTAAATGATAATTTTTTAATAAGTATATATAGTATATTTTTTAATGAGTAGAATAAAAAATTGAATTAATGAGCTGAGTCATCTTTATTTAGGAACTCTATAATAAATCTTATGTTATATATTTGACATGTTTGTTTCTTAGTGTTTGTTTTTTAATGTGGATGTTTATTAATTTTTTTGGATGACAGAATAGGATTATAACTCAAGACTTTACTCTTATCAAACGCAGAGAGGGACAAACACTGCAATAAGGACCACAACTCAGATTCGTAGAGATAAGGAGTGGAAAATTCAAAGTCTTCGCAGGAAATAAACATATAGAAATATTTGGTAAAAATTATACATATATATATATATATATATATATATATATATATACACATCCCGTCACGTGGCTTTGTTAGTCTGTTTTTCCATTCTCCACGAAAATGCTTCAGCCCGCTCCAGTCCAAAAGACAGCCCACTCCACCGTTTGGGCCTGTCTGAAACCCCTTTTTCACTCACCAATTTCGTCTGTCACAGTCCAGCACACTAGGCCCGGATTGCTTCTTCTTTACAATTTGGGTCACATGACCATGTTACACCTGCAGCAACTAGTCCTTGAGCTCAAAATCGAACGGCCCAAAGAAGCCCATCTTTACACCCTCACACTCCAACAGCCATTAGCCCGTATTCAAGCCCTTCTTCAACTCAGCCCGCAGTTGTCTGTCAAAATCCTTCAGCCCACAATCAAACGGCCCAAAGAAGCCCATCTTCACAGCCTCACACTCTAACATCCACAAGCCCGTATTCAAGCCCTTCCTCAACTCAGCCCGCCTCCTTCTGTCCAAACATTTCACAGCAGACGTTACTAAAAAAAAATTAAAAGATCTAAAGTGTCACTTTAGCAATTTGCTTTTTTTTTTTTTTTTCCTAAATGGCTGGCTAGGGGCTCAAGCAGGCCTGACCTAGCTCACAGGCCTGCACAATCAGTCCCAGCCAGCCTTTGCCTTTTTTTTTTTTCAATAATTTATTTTATATTTTTTTTATCATGAAATAATGTGTGAAAATATAAAAAAATATCTTTATTTTTTTAGTTTTAAGTATAGTTTGAAAATAATAGAATATATATAATATTGTTTTTAGATTTTAGTTTGAACATATATATAACTTATTATATTATTTTTATTATTTCAAATTTATTTCCTCAATTGTTTGTTTCTTATTAAAATTCTTATCGAATTAATTTTTTTATTTTATATAATTTTATTTTTTAATAAATTTGATTTTTTTATATATGGATTTAATATATTTCATACAATTTAGGTGATTTTTTAATATATATTTTTATTTATTTTATATATTCCGAATTTGTTACGTGTGAGTGTGTGTGTATATATATATATATATATATATATATATATATGTCCGTGTGTGTGTATCATTAATGTTTTTTAGAAATTACCTATATATCCGCACACATAATACCGATTATTTGTTATTTACTTTTTCATATTTTAAAATTTGTCTTTTTTTTAAAAAAAAGTTAGACAATGTTTTAAAATAGCCTCCTAATTATTTAAATATAATTTTTTATGCTATTGTTATTAAATCTTTGGTTAATAAATATATAAATCAAATGATTTCGCTCAATATATAAATTTGATTTACGTTAATCATCGGGAATAAAACTTCTATTCATGCTATATCATACGAATCGTTAATTTTACATATGCAACGGTTATTTTATTACGGGGTAATGTAGGTATATAATTAGTAATATTCTAAATGTGCTGGTGATATCAAAGATGGATTGCGGAGCAACAAAAAGTCAATGGAATGTTGAAAAGCTAAAGGAACGTTTATAGAAGAATTCACAGCATCAAACTCTTTTTCTTTTGTGATCGGAAAGGAATTAAAGGTAATTTCAGCATCCAGCAACTTGATAGATCATGCAAAAAATTCCATTTGTCTATTATCATAGCTGATAGAGAATTTAATCAATGGTCGGTAAGTGTGTCTGTGTTTGTGTCCTATAAAATCATTCACACTAAATTGGAGATATGAAAGATTTGTGTGAGTTTTTGTTAGTTGCAACCAGTCTAGTGGCCCACACATTACTGCAGGTAACCTCATAAAATTAATTGCTTTAAAAATTGAAATAATTCAAAAAAATTAGGTGAGCAACATAACAACTAATCAACATTAATTAAGAAATTTTTTAATTTAATATGTATTTTGTAGTATTAAATATCAATTGTTGTCATAACCCAATCTTGGGTTCCTTTAAAGGGAAAAAAAACAAAACAAAACAAAAACAAAAAAAAAACAAAAAAAAAAGGAAAAAATATAAAAAAATATTAAACCTCCCTAAAATCATTCAAAAAATCTATTGAAATCTTTCACAAATCTTTTTAAATTGGAAGCTCCTTATTTTTAGCTAATCAATTCTCAAAATTAAGATTTAATAATTAGAATTTGAATTTGAATTGATTTTGGGAGAAATTTAGGATGTTTCAGCTTATAAAAAGCTTTTGAATTCCAATTTGTTGAGGAGTGACATGAAAAAAAAAACACAAAAAAAATACTAAAACCTAATTGGAGTTAGCCAAACATGCCTTAATCCGTTCACCAACCCGTTTACCCGACCGAACGTTTCACCCTCAATTGATCATTTTTCGATCATATTTAACCCCGATAAAACCACCCACGAGTAGCTCATCACGAGATCGGTCCATCAACACCAGTTAGAGAGAAAAACAATCACGGAGGAGAGAGAAATCGAAGATCAAAGGTCCACGACCCGACCCACAATTAGACCTAATTATTTCTCTCAACTTTGACCACCAACACGAGATCTAACCCCATAGATCCGATCGTCGGTCTCCCTCGAGTGTTTCTAGTTAAAAATCCCGACCCAACGACATCGTAAAACGATTTAATTGGACTCAATCCGTTTTCAATCTGTTTTGATAAATCCGATAAAATTGGCCAATCTAGAAGGCGTTGAAGGTTCTAACCACCACGGACATCTCTCTCTCGACCTCCCGAGTCGACCGGTGGGCTTAGAATCCTAAGAGGAGGTCGGATTGGAGATCCGGTTGGACCTTTGGAGCCTTCGATCTCCCTCCTCCGGCGTCTTCTTTGGTCGAAACCACTCGTACGTGAATTTTGGACTCGTTTGATTTATTTTATGTGTTTTGTAGCATTTTTTTTTCTTCTTACAAATGTATGTTAAAAAATTTAAAGATACATAGTTGTGAAATTTATTTTAAGATGAGATTTTTTTTATGATTAAAATATGAGATAAACGAGTCCCCTATTTATTAGGGAAGGATGATGATTTTGATATATTTGATTTTTTGAAATTAGTTTTAGTTGATTTTAGTTAATTAAAATTTTAAAGTTTTTTTTAAATAAAAAATAAAAAATATTTTTTTTTGACGAAGTCTCCTATCCGATAGGGATCGACGTCACAAAAAAGAACGTCTAATTTTTTTCCTTTCTTTTGATGAAGTCTCTTATCCGATAGGTACCGACGTCACCAAAATTCATTTGTTTAATCAAAATGTTCTCCGACACACTTGGTTGTGTCAAGGCTTAAAGTGGATCCGATATTTGAATCGACGTGTCGCCCAACAAAAGGGGCTAACGATCGTTTCAATACGATGCTACGCCCAAAACTAAAAAATTCAATTTGTCTTAAAAGAAATAAGTGTTTAGAAATCAGAAAATAATTTGACATAAATAAAATATTTTAGGAGATAAATTTAGAGCTAAACCGGATGTGGTACCTTTCTTCGGAAAGGGCGCTTTTGGGTGATCGATATCTTCCAAAAAGCGTAACCAACTCCTTACCATAGAATCTTCGAACCGGTATTCGATTTAGGTTCCTAGTTCCTTTAATACTAGGTGGCGACTCCAAACTTTGTAAATAAACTTGTAAATACCAATCTAATCTTAGATACTTTCGAGGATTCCCATCCAACGTCGGATAGCGACGGAATGACGACTCCACTAGGGACTAGAGTTAGGCCATAGGTTTATTTTTTTTAATTTATCTCCTATGTTTGTTATTATTATTATTATTATTTGTCATTTTATTTTCTGAATTCATTTTTTATATATATATTTACATTCTTGTAATTTATTTTACGCATTCTATTTTCTCATGGTATGTTTTTTTTAATTGGGTTGCATATTTTTGTTTATTACTGTTGCACACACTACGAAGGAAACTTATAAAAAGCTCCGGACCCGAGCTAAACCTTGATAGGACTTAGATAGAGGGATGCGGAGACGAGTATGACGAAAGTCTACCGATGCTCTTCTAAACTCTCGTTTGGATTGAAACTCACCCTATACATTGAAAATGGTGGAATAACCTTCCCCTACCTCTAGTGTATAAGGTTAAAGGTTGGATTACCTCACCTGGTAATTTAGACAGTCTAGAAACTTGAAATATCTTTAGGATTAGTCAAGCTTTGCCCAAACCATAGAAAAGCTAGATCTTGTCTATTAGGATTGACCTAATTAAGACACAAATCATTGTCAAATGATATCGATACCGACCCTTAGTATTCCAAGAGTGTTTTTGTAATTTTTAGTGAAGGTTATCCTTCATATTAAATCATGACCGAAGAAGTCGAAATAAGGTCAAGGATATTAGATTAGCTTTGAGCGGTTTTGAAATGATGAAGGAGATTGTCCGCCTTTGAATTTCGTGTTGAGACTTGTAAAAGAAAAAAGTTTCGCCCTTCGTGTGCTTATAATAAGAGTGGCTTTATCACTTCAAAATCAAGTCACGACTGAAATTAGGGACATACATGTCTCCCTAATCGCTCAAAGTATTTGTGGGGTAATTTTATCCTTAACGAGTACTAGCTTAGTCTAACACATCCTCGACAAGATTCCGTAATGATTTAATGTACAACACAATAAAGAAAGGTATCTAACCTAGTTCAAAGTCATGTATTTGCATTAAGTATTTATTTGTATATATTTCTTTTGTATTTTCGAGTGAAGTAAACATAGGTCGCTCCACTCAATCCTCTTCGTATGTCTACAACACTCGACTTCGGACTCGTCAAATGAAAAATGAAAAAAGATCAATACAAGAGGCAATCGATCGACGAGAGTTTGACTCGCTAAAAGAGAGTGTGGCTCGGATGACATCCTTATTAGAACAAGCCTTAAGAGGGAAATGTGGCTTGAATCAAGGACAAGAATAACTCAAAGTACCTCATGTTGTTCCACTACCCAATCAATCGGGGAATTCCAATCAAGCAACTTTTTAGGTCGATGGCTCACATCCTGCTAGGGTATTTACTTATC